CGCGCTAATTACTCAACCGAAGACAAGACAGGTTTCGTAAGGCTAGTCCGATTACAGATTTAACTTCTTAACATCTGTTCTATGTTACGATGTACATACGTGGATTTTATTTTTCGATACATAATAATTTCTTAAAATAGCGCGATAGAACATTTTTTTCTTATCGACAACGTTTATTGAATTCTGTATAATTCGAGACACGCGAGGACTATGTTTTCCACACATTGAAGAAAATTCAAGACCGACAAGGTTGCTATTACGCCGTCCCGGACGCCCACGAATAAAAACTGTTACCAAAAACAAACGTGTATTTACCCGTCGGCGACGTCGCGCTGCACGGCGTCGATGGATCTAATAATAAAGCAAATCAAGTTCGTTCCAAGTTCAATTTGTGTCGTTGGAAAGTCATTCGTGTAAAACATTCAAATCAAACTAAACGATCCTGAAACATATCTCCAACCCTGTCCGATCAATAACGGCCTGTTCTACTGCGAACAGTATTTTAGTAGGCTCGATTATTAAAACGAGTTCTACCGAAAACTTCTGCTAACATTTTTGTTTTAAAATGCCCGATTTTAGTCGCTGCTCTAAATATCGAAACAATTAACGCGAAATCAGTTTAATGGAAGGTGATTGCGTCGAAATGGTATCTGTTTTGTAAAGTGCATAATCGATCTGGGTCGCTGACGATTTCGTTGTGCATGCAGACGACAATGCGGATTAAGGGAAGAAAACAGACCGTCGACTTGCGTGGAAACTTGTAATTGCCAGATTGGTACGGTGGAATGAACATAATCCTGTTCTCACCGGTGCCATGTAACTCGAGTTTACCCTTTCCGCTCCGCGAGGATTGCGTCGGAACCTTTTGTAAGCGAATTACGTCACGGTTATTCAAATGGTTTCGGTTTTACCGTTAGTTTTTACAAATCCCCCTGTCGGCGGTAATTTGATCCTTTTCAGAAAGTTGGAGGGGCCGGCCGTTCGCGGTTTCCGCGATAGAAACATTCCGCGGAATAATCCAGATATGGAACTCATTTAGCAGATTTAAAGCGCCTGGGCTCGTTGCGAACGGCAACGAAATATTCCGCGTTTCGTGGTTCGTCGGGGAGACAAAAGAGGGGAGGAAAGAAGTTGAGGTTTTCGAGCAAAAACTAATATTAATAATTAGCCATTCGTTAAGCAAATTGCGAAACGAGGATAAAGACGGAGGACGGTACGATTAATTTCAGCTACTTGCCCTCTATAAACGTAATGAGAATCTCGCATTTCGAGACCAATATCTTTGCAAAACGTTGCAATATCGCTTAATACGGAAAAATCGGAATCGTTCTTGGCATCGGTGCTCCCGCAATTTCAATTTAACTCTCGTTACTTCCATGCTACCGTTTCCGGGAGATCTGTGTACGTTTGGTTCCAATATAATTAAATCCGTATTCCGTGCTGGGCGCGCTTCAGCTTCCGCGAGCAAAGGAAGTACCGCTAGGCACTTTTTATCTTCGACTTTTCGTCAGCCTTTTCAAGATCCAACGAAATTCCCCTGCCCCGCGGACCGAGTATCTCTTCCTTTCGCGAAAAGATGCCGTTATCACTTTGCCACGGAACTCTTATCTTCTCTTTGTCCGTTATTGCGTCGTAATATGCGAGCTATCAGCTATTTCACGGTCGTATTTTCATATCCCACGCGGCCATCAATCGCGCTCGAGACTTTTATCCTTCGTCGCGAAGCTGATTCAACGTCAACCGCGTATATCAATCTGCGTAAAACGTACACTGCGTCTACGCTTGTGCCTTTTCACGCGTACGCGTATTCAAATATTAATAAAAGCTTCCTCTCCGTGAAAGAGCACGGAATTGTTTAACTTTAATTAACGTTTTAAATGGAAATTGTATATTAAATATATCGCAGAGGGGAAGAGATATTAGTTCCGGCGTGAGTTATTTCTCGTACCGGGTCGGTCCGACTAATTGTGAGCACATTCCCCTTACCGATAATTCGAAGAACGTATTTAACCTGTACTTGTCGGGCAATGATACGAGAACTGCATCGAATTTCAATGATAAACGGTGGAAATTTTCCGACCGTACGGCGCGGTATAATGCGAGATGCAGTGCCGATTCGAAGGGATCGTTCGAGAAAACGTTCATTTTTCACATCCCTTCGGTGTATAAGTGGGTCACCGGTGTCTGCATAATATCGCTCGATTCCCTCTGTGCAGAAGAAATATTGCATTCCGCATCTTTTTAAAACGGGGTCGAACGTAAGCTCGAAAGTTATAGAAGGTGGTAGGTTCCCTGGATTTCGTGCACTCATTGTTATCTCACGGATACGTAATGGAGCACCGTGTCCAGTGAATAATGGACGGGGCTTCTGTTTTTTTCGAGGGAAAAGTTTCGCGTACACTTAACGTTCCTCGCGAGAGAGGAGGTCGAAGAATGTACCTGTATCTCGGAGGATTAAAAAGGAACATTCCTGTGAAAGTGTCCGTGGAATCGTCGGACCGTAATTGATGAACAAAGAAATCTGTATCGTACGGACTAGGGATGGTAGAAAAAATATTAATTAATGATACTTCCAGGTTTTTGTCAATTGCTAATACGCTTTTATACACGGCTGACCCATATTTTCGGAACGTTCTCGGTGAAAATAAAATGTTTCAGCGTGGTCACGTTCGCCGGATTCCACTTTTTTTCGGAGAAAACAGGAATGAGAACGGTTAAGTTTACAACAACGAATGGGATTAGTTGCATATTTCCAGAGTGAAAATAACCCGGACTTAATTCTGACCTAAAAACGATGCGGTAACGTCCGTAATAATCGTATCGCCGCATCGGTAATTAACGAATTAATTAAATACTCTGTTCCGCGGAAACGGGGGTTCAATTACGATGAAAAAATTCCACCGCGTTCTTTTCTATTTGCTGAAATCTTTTCGATGCAGCGTTGTAAGTAGGTGGAAAGTTGAACATGCAAACGAGCAAGCGTAACCAAACTCGCAGTCGCGAAACTATTCTGTTATCCAGTTTCAAGGTACCCGGAGATAGTAAATAATTCTCTTCCGGAAGTTTCGAACTTACCAACGAAGGTAATAATGCCCAAATATCCGTCGTACATTATGAGTTATCGCGCGAAAATTCAGGAAGACCGATTAAAAACTTCTGTTTCTTTCTATAATAATTAACATACTATTCTATTTCCGTGCTAGCCCATAAGTAATGTTTCTCGTTTTAATGTCAAATGTGAACTTCGACGAAACTGGCTTAATTAAGAAAAATGAGGATTCATTCGTGGTCAACAACGGGGGAAAAAAATCTGTGAATTAACGAAGGTCTTCGTTACGGTCTGTGAAAATTATCACGCAACCAGGAGGTATTAAGGTAATTGAGCGATGCGACGGAATAGAAATACAAAAACACGGTAAACGGGGAGCACCATTCAATGAGGAACGAGGATCGAGGGTTTAGTAGGCGAACAGGAAGAATGGGGGAAATAACTCCACACTCTTGGGAGTCGGATCGGAAGAGTAAACATTTCGAGCTGCGAGTCTTCGTAGTTTAGATAGAGCTGGTATTCCTTTCTCCGTGCCCTTCTATTTCCTTTTACTCTTTTCTCTGTTGCTTTCTCAGCAAACTGGCTTAAGATTTCGTCGTGTGTACAGCGTGTACTATACGAATGATGTATACCCAAAGGCTCAAACGCTATAACAGAACGATGAGTGTTAGTTCCAAGGTGATATCCACCGCGTACCGATTTTTCAAATGTTATAGTTCTGTTCCCGGAATACACAATATCGCTTCTGAGGATAAACTAAAAATAACGTGGATCGATGAACGACGATTATTTATCAAAAATTTAAGTTCCGAGGAGAAAGGGTACGAAGAAAGTTTCGACGTAAATTTTGTTGGACGAGTTTGAATAGCTCTAAATTGCTCACGAGGAATTGATTCTATCGCTGGACAACGTTGTTATGTTTGTACGAAATATAATCTTGTATGAAATAGAGAGCGAGATTTGCCGAGGTTTATGCACCGTCGGGATTAAAGCAGCCACGATAAACTACACTTGTTTCCCGGTTAGGAATTTTGCCAGCAAATAAAGCGCAACCGAGTCTGAGCGTATGCTCGATGAAATTGTTTAGCAGGAATGCAAAGGGGTGAGAAAAGGTCATTTCACTGGAAACGGGGATCGAGCTGGCGTACAAGGCGAGCAACGAAACTGTTTCACACTTTGACTTTGATGTTCCCGAGGGATGAACTTTTAAACAGCTTCGTGTTCGAAACGATTCTACAACTGAATATTATTCTCACTTTCCCTTCTACAATTTATCGATAAATAATTGTAACAAATACAACGATACGGAACATTAGAATTTTTCTTTTATTTCAGAAAATATATTTGAATCTTCCCGCCAAACTAATGGGGCACGATAAATTTGACCAAGTACACCCTGTATAACCTCGAAATGCAAAATATGTGTATATTTGTACTTTTCTGGTAATTGTTGATTGAATTCGACGATTACTAATAGGAATTATAAATTATTGAATAATTTGTATTTACTAAGAGACGCTGCGACAAATGATGACACAATTGCGTCGCGGTGTCGGGCGTTATGCCTATAAAAACTACGATAAACAGAGAATGTACGAGTGAAATAAAGTGAGAGGTCATTACGAGTATAGACACTGGAAAATTGATGTTAAAAGCAACAGGAACGCGTTATTGGAATTGTGCAAAGTGACGCTGTAGGCGTGTCACTCACCTCCAGAGAACGTTCATAATTTATTTTGTATGACCGTTACGATCAATACGCAAATATACAGCATACAAGAAGCATATACTATATGTACACGGAATACCTTAATCGTACATGTCAACACGGTCAAAACGAACGCAACGACGAATCAATTTTAATATTTTTTTTATTTGCGATTTTTCAATATAAAACGATTCGTTCGTTGTTAACACAACCTTGTTACACTTTACTTGCACAACGATGGCTAACGTAATCGAAAGGATGGTTTTACTATATTTTTTTGCACTTTGTTTAATAATAATAATCAACTTCAATGTATAATATCGATTAAAACTATCTGTTTATTGTACAAAGTATCAATAGACTAATGATGAGGAAGAGTAACGTCTGTTTACAAATTAAATTCATTTACATATGAAATCGTAATAATTTTTAGTAAAATTATGATTCGTATGTAAAAAAAATAATAGTACGTACGAAACATTGTGAACACAAAAGATACGGTCATCATATTTCCGCCGTTAAAAACTGAAACTAAATAATACCTTGTCAGATTGCGTACGAAATAAAAATTACCTTGATGCGCATCTACGCTGCAATGTATAATACCATATTTAAATCAATCGATTCCGTGATCGTTTTAGCGCGTCCAGGGCGCGCGCTTCGATAATCGAAATAGACGCGCGATATCGAACGGTCAGCCAATAGCTCTCGCACGCCATCTTTTTGTAACGGACTTTCTCCAGCGAGTGTTCAAAACGTCCGTTGAGAAATATCGGGAAAATTGTATATTTCATATGTAAATTCACTCTTACAAAAAAGTATATATGTGATTCGTCCCGACAGTGTATCTCTGACGTGTATCGACAGTTATCTTCGACCGAATGATGAATTTATTCACTTTCGCTTCCACCGCCAGCCCTTTCCGAACTCGAATGGCGGGAACCGACATCGCTGCCAGAAACCGATTTTCTGGATTCTGGAGTAGCAGACCTGGAACGAACAAGTTACGATTGTCGCGATTCAGGGAATGGACCACCATCGTTGGAGATGCTGCATTCAACGGGGTACGATTATGCACACTAAAATTATCCTAATTTCTCGAACTCGAAAACTTTCTTTGCTCTCGTATAAGAGAGAAACGGGCAGGGGTAAATGAGATGAATATTATTTACCTGGCTGATCCACTTGGACTGCGACTTCGAGATCCACTCTTTGACCTTGAACCCGACCGGGACCGCGATCGCGAAACAGATTTAGATTTCGATCGACTTTTGCTTCTGGATCTATGTTCCTCTCTGCCTGATTGCGAGCCACTCCTTGACCTCGATCTCGATTTCGATCTTGACCTAGACCTTGACATTGCTTTTCTGGAACCACTAGGCGACCTCGATCCACTGTGCCTAGACCCTGATCTTGATCTTGGCCCACTTTTTCTTGAGCCACTTCGCGATCTTGACCGTGACACGCTCTTCCTCGACCCTGATCTTGATCTAGAACCCGACCTTGAACGGGACCCACTCTTCGCCGAGCCCGATCTCGATCCGGACCGACTTCTCGATCGCGAGGGGCTTCTAGATTTCGATCCCGATCGAGACCTGGACCGCGAACGAGACTGTGATCTCGACTGTGATCGTGATCGTGATCGCGATCGCGAACTGCTTCTAGAACGACTTCTAGATTTTGATCTAGAACGAGACCTAGAACGCGATGCACGTGAACCTTCGGAATCGGATGTAATTTTTCTGCTTCCACGTGGGCGACTTTCGTTGCCGCTCTCGCCCCTGAAAATATATTAAAATACATCAAATGATCTCCTCAGTGTGCAGTTCAATATAATTTGTTTCTCAGAATCATATTCACCCGCTAGCAATTTTAAGACCACCCGAATCACTGTCGGATTCACTGGTCGATATCGTTTCCTTGGACAGGAAACTAGTTTTACCCTTAGAAGGCTCGGATTTATTTTTTCGAGAACCTTTGTGCTTCTTAGTACTTCCAATCTTCCTTCCACGTTTTGGTTTAGGTCGATCACTTTCTGAACCTGAATATCCAAATGTTTAATTTAATCCTTTGAACACTGACTAGTAGATGGGGAAAATATTGGTTTATCTTACCACTTTCACCACTCGACATATCCTTCTTGCGTTTCCCTTTACCCTTGCCTTTTCTTTCCTTACGTTCCCCGCTTGCTTTCCTTTTACGTGATTTCCGTTCTCTTGGAGCTTCCTCTCTCCCTTCGTCTCGTCCTGAACCACCGCTGTCGCTGATGTACTGGTCTGTACGTACCTTCTTTCCTTTCTTTCCTACCTTCTCCGAAGGCATACCTCCAAAGACCAAAGCATTCTTAGTCTTTTCAACGTACTCTTGCCGTTTCTGTAACATCTCCTCTTCTTTCTGGCGTCGCATTTCTTCAAGCTTCCTTTGTTCTTCTGTCTGGCGCATTTTGAATGCTTGTCTATAAAATATTTAAAGGTTGTCGATTACGTTAGACTGATTACTAGAATCATTTGATTATATTCGCGTTATTACCTTTCTTCTTCTTGTTTCCTTCTAAGCATCTTCTCTTCTTCGTCCAATCTTCTAGCTCGAGCAACATGATATTGTGCTTGCGACAATAAATCTTGACATCTTCTGGCTTCTCCTTCTGCGAGCTGTTCCATCCTGTCTCCATGCGTTGATAAATATTGAAAATATTTATGTGAAAGTCCCAATTCGTGAACTGCCTGCAGCACAGTTGTTAGAGTCGATTTCTCGTCTTTCAAAATGTACGTTGCCAAACGTTGAAGTACAAGTGCAATATTGTACAACAATACGGTATCCTGTGGAGCTACCCTCCTAGCCTAAATAATAACATTAGTTATTTAACTTCTTCAATAGGCATGAATATTTATGGAATCTCCTTTATTTACCTTCAATAATGTTAATTTTGCTTCCTTTAATTTGCCAGCCTTAAAGTATGCCCTTCCAAGGTATTGCAGAACTTCAACGTGGTGATATTTATAGAATTTGCGAAGGCAATTTTCGTACTGTAAAAGCACATTTATTTTATAGTATCATCACTACGAATCAGTTTGTAATACTGATTATGAGATAATGAATTACCATTTGAATAGCGCTAACAAATTGTTTTTGTTCCACATAAATGTGTGCGATATTTAACCAAACGTCACAAAACTCTGCCGTTGCTTCTCGAACTTGAGCGAAAATATCTCTGGCTTCATTCACACATCCTTTATGTGCTAATACCGCTCCAATGCCGTTCGCTGCCCAAATATTTTTAGGATCATTTCGTAAAACCTATAAATTTCATATACACAGTGGTATACGTGCGAACAGCACATCATAAATTTTGTAATATTTCATATTGCAATACCTGTTTATACATAGTCAATGCTCTGTCTTGATGACGTTTTTCTCGGTCCTTATCTTTTCCGCTTTGATGTAGAGTCTGCAACCAAATGTTGCCCAACGCAATCAATGAATAAGCATCTGTACTTGTCGTTGGATTTTTGAGAATTCTCTCGAATTTCTTTTGACCAGGTCCCCATTCCATCTTCGCCAAATGCAAATTACCCAGAAGAGACCACGCATCTGGATGTTCGTTGTTGATTCTCAAAGCGTCTTTAAACCAATCAGATGCTTCATAAATTTGCCCTTTATCTCTAGCCATGCAGCCAAGTCGTAAATAACAATCTACATAATTTGGATGCTCCTTTAAAATGTCTTTGTACAACTTTTCTGCTTTATCAAAGATACATAAAGCTTCGTTCAGACGCGCCAAATTATAGGTTGTTGTAACGGCAATTGAATTATAGTACACAGAATCATGTAAGGCATCTGCTTTGGAACGTGCCAGAGATTCTTCCAAATTTTTTCTAGCTTCCTCTAAATTTCCAAGCCTTAAGCATGACGGTAAACGTTGAATTTAAATAAAAAATAAAAGTAAAATTTAGAGAACAGAACAACTTACCTATAGTGTAGAGCCCCAACATTATTTAAAATTTCGGGTGGTATATCCGCTTGAACTTTCTCTTTTAAAATTCTAGTTGCAGTACCGTATGCGTTTAAGGCTGCATTAAGGTCACTTTGTTCTAATATTTGTGCAAGCTCAATCCACGCCTCAACATCATCGGGGAATTGTTCTGTTACTTTTCGGAGATGATTTTTGGCAATATCACGTTTTGACTGAGAACTTGAGTTAGCATATAACGATCCAAGAATTTTCATTGTTTCGTAATTTCCTGGTTGAGCTTTCAACACTTTTTCAAAACATTGCGCCGCCTAGAAGAAAATAAGAATTTTATAAATCTGATTATAGATCTTCTTTATTCAATTGCGAGAAATAATACGTAAAACCTACGTTTTCGGCATCGCCACGATAAACATACATTTGACCTAAGCCAAAGTGTGGTAATACAAAAACTGGAGGTGCAAATTGAGTTGCCTGGTAGTAGTACTGAAAAGCTTGATCATAGTCGCCCTAAAAAAATTTGATTTTTTGTAAAACGAAAACGCTCAGAATTTCCGAATACAGTTTATGCGAAAGCATACTTACTTGAACATGAAATGCCCTGGCTAGCTGGTAGCAGCTCTCCGCGCGCATAGCTTCGTTTTCAGTATTGTGAAATGCATGGAGTGCCAAGTGTTGCACTTTGTTGTAATCTTTTTTAAAGAAAAAATGATTTGCCAAATGGTTTAACACCATGGGATTTGTTGAATCAATTGTATAAGCTTTAGACAACATTTGTACTCCAGTTTTGATGCTATCAGGCTGTTGTTGATTCAGTTTCAAAACCGAAAGCCCGACCAATGCTCCAACACATTGGCCATCTAATTGTAAAGCTCTTTCAAAGGCTAGACGCGCTTTTTCTTGGTTATTTAATTTCATAAAACAGTGCCCCATTCCCAATCTAACAGCAGCTGGGCAGTTCGGATTTGTTCTTAAAGCTTTTTTATAAAATGCAAGGGCACCACGGTAATCTTTTTTATTGAATGCTATACACGCTTTACCAAGTAAAGAAGGAATATTATTCGGAGACTGATTCAGTACAAAATTGAATTGGGCATCAGCTTGATCCATTTTATCGCCTTCCAAGAGGCAAAAGTAAGCTCGGCCAAGCAAATGATTCTTTAACATAAATCATGTTTATATAAGTCACTTGAACATTTAGGAACATTAATGGAATTAGTATGAACAAGATATACCTGGTCATACATAATGATCTTATCAGCAGTTGTATACAGTAATGTGGCTTTTGTAAACAGATCTCTTTTTTTATCTTTATTCTTTTCTCTGTTGGCTTCTTGGACATAGTAAGCAGCCAACATGTCCAATGCACGCATTTGATCTTTCTCATAGTCACGGTAATCAATATTTGCATCAATCCGAGAAGATTCAAGTATTTTAATAAAGTCTTCAATTTTGTGTTGTTTATAGTATTCAAGCTGCAAAGAAAGGTAACATTTTACTTTCTCTGCCGTTTGATTATGACTATTATAACTTTGTACATTCAATACGTACGGCCAAATTGACCCAGATATTAAGCTGGGCATGTTCTTGGCGTAAAATTCCAAGAACTTCATCTCCTTCTGGTAATTGATCAAGGTAGAGTTCTATTACCTAACAGAATGCAATTTGCAAGTTAAGAAGAGCATCTATGCAAAATACATTAATGCAATGGCATGGTGAGGCATTCAATCACACAAAGAGTAGATAAAACATTCAATTTATTCGAAATTTTTAATTAACAAATGGCTAGTGTCCAATATTTTATCATACATCAATAAACCAAACATACTGAAAAGAACATGAAAAAAATAAAACTAACAAGATAAAAATAATTTAATGAGACTACGTAAAATGATAGCCATATATGTGTCGCATTATAGAATAAATTCTGATGTATTCGATCAACATTCTATGCATGTACAGCTACGTTGTATGTGTACGCTTTATTGCACAAGTATCCCTGATAGAGGTTAGGTTCATTAAAAGGTCTTCTTTTCAGGACTGCAGAACAAACTTTAAGTCGCAATTAATGAACACGTAACAGGACACGTTCAAGTTTCTCCTAGGGGCTTAATAATAACAAATATAGTGCTCAAAAACAAAAAATATTCACCTCGTCTGTATCACGAAGTGGAATCTCTATGGAACCCGCCATTGCGGCATCGTCACTGATTTTCACGTAGCGTCACGTAGCGTGGCCAACAGATGTCCCATTAAATGAATGATATGTACAGACTGCGGTCTTCTCTCTCACTCTAGTTGTGAGAGTGGGGGAAGCGGCCATGTTGAGATTTTCCCATAGTAAACACCTCGAACACGCGGTCGATTTAAAATTATCAGGCTACAAATAATGAAGAAACAGCCTAGAACTACGTCAAAGTTTCCGTCGAGGCAGAAATTGAATCTGTTTTGACGTATGTTTATTAGTTTATTTCAAAAAAATATACACAATACATGAATTAACGTTTTGCCACGCGAATGGACGATACAATTTAAGTTCAGCGCAACGCGGTTGCGAACAAAACCAATCGAGAGAATCATAAAAAGTAATCGTCATCGATTCTTATTATTTCATAACGAGAAATCAGTTCGTCTCCGAATCTATTATATAAATTCAATAACAATCTGTTGCGTTACTCTTATACTTTACAAACTATCTTGAGCAACAAGGGTATATAATACTTATATATCGATAAATATTCAAATTAGCAATAAATATCGCATTTATATCACTGATCGATAGTAAAACGGTTACATTCTTAGAAAAACGTTTTGATTAATCGTTACACGATAACGTGCGTTACAAACTTCCGCGACGAACGTATTATCTATTTGTTGTCGTTATTTGGGGGTAACATCGTATACGCGGTGCGGCGCTTTTCCGCCGTCACCGCTTTAAAATTTCGCGTAAAACTTTAACAGGGACGAACTCTTGGCCGCTCTGCGCGTTTCTCACGGTGGTTCAATCGTAGTAGCTTCCGTAGAAGGAGGTGAATTCCGTGTCAGAGCTTACGCTCGGTGGTAAACTCGTCGCGTCCATAGTTTCCCTCTCGCTCCCGACCGTAGACGCCCTTACGTCCAGGGTGCCGCTTACACCGGACATCCCTGAACTCGTCGCCATTTCCACTTCTTCCACGTCGGGACGATACATGTCTCTTAAAATGACGTCACTTTAATTCACAGTCAATTCTTTGTTAATTTCTTGTCAGCCGTAGAGGACCGTTAATGGTAGTGGGAGTTAGGTAGGGGAGAAACTATTTCTGAAACGTGCAACGGATTCGAAGACTGCGTATTAGTAGAAAATTTGATCGAACTTGCGCTTATTGCTGCAATAAATTCAACATATGAAAGTCACAGAACGTAAAAGGGGGGCGTTAGAATGTCACGGAGGAAGGATGATTGCGTTAATGACATTCCAAAGTCAATTATGGTTTTCGGTGATTGTGTACTGTGTCGACAACCCCATCGATTTCAAATTTGAAATATATTGAAGGGAGAAGTCACTGAGTGTTTAGAGGTTGAAACGAAAATTAGGATATCATTATTAGATGACTTTAGTGATCTCTACGGCTGTCGGTATTCGTGGTTCTCATACATACACACTCATACGTATACATACAAATGGATCAGAAATTAAAAGAAACGGTGGAAGAAGGGTTGGTTCGATAAAAAAAATATTTTTAAAGAAATGCGAACGAAATAAGTCAGACAAAAGTTACAGTGTATTTTCGAAAAGTGTAAATAATACATATACATAATGTACATTATAGTAAATAATATAAGTATATATCATACACAATGTATATTCTCGTCCTTATCTATGATTCCCTGAAGAACACTTTCCTTTCCCTAGCCTATTTTATTCTAAGAATATAGTACATATATAGATATGCATATACAGCGTATATAATAAGGTTTCGGGTCAACAGTAGCTATGTATGTAATAAAGATTTGTGGAAGGAGTGTGGAGGGGAGTTTCAAAGTTGCGCGGATTGTCAACTACGCGGTACGTCGACGTTCCGAATCCCTGCGTTATTCGAGGGACAACTGTAATTATTAGAAAAACTTGAGTTATAGTATGATTCGGAATATCTCAAACTAGGAAAATCTTAATTGGAAGCACGAAGAAGAAAATTACTTTCAACCTAGAGTATTACTTTTTGTTATATCGCAAGGTCGTCGACACGATACATAACAACCATTCATTTTTTAAGTTCAATACTTTTCGAGCTTCGAACAAAAACACTTTTGACCTCCTTCGACTCCGTCATCCCCTTCGTATTTAATTCGTTCAGTTTTGAGGTACGTTTGGAGCAAAATTTATTTTCGATATTGAAAAATATTACCTGTAATCCGGAGCAGGGAGTTCGATGTGCTGTCTCCGCGGGTTCGAAGACATCGGCGTTCTCTTTATCGCGTAAATGTATATGCCAGTCATAGTAAGCGTGTACGAGACGAAGTACAATGCGTGAAACTGGAACAGAGATCGAGGGAGCGCATTAGCATATGCAGATATACCGGCATTGTGCGTCACGCTCGTTGCAGACAGTTTTGCAGAATTTGTTCGGAGCGTATAGAAGAAATTGAGAAAGGAAAACCGAGGATTTCTCCATGAATTGGAACGTTCGAAGAAAGCTCAAATGGAAGAAGTACCTTGTATTCGTGGATCAACATGCCGGATAAAACGTTGAAAGAGTCTGCTGTCAGCAATGCCAGCTGCAACGCCGTCGCGCCCGACTCGAACAATATAACAGGCACCAGAGAGAAAAACACGAACTGCATGATGCAGTAAACCACCAAGAACGTGATCACGGGCGCGTTGTTCCAATGGAACGACTCCAATTTCAGACTTTCCAGCACGGCCCTGAAATATCATTAGCGACTATGAGTTATTATCTATGTTGTACAATATTCAGACACCATGGAACATTTTTGTCACGTTGATTTAACCCTTTTTGTATAAATAATAATATACGGAGTACCATGGTGTCCAAATATAGATAAAGATTTAAATGTCATCTCGAATAAAAGTTTGCCCATCTTTGATCTTTTCCAGCGGACTTACGTTTGCAGACAGCTCAATATCATGCCGAAGAAACCGATCATGCCCAGATACTCGATGATATCGACTGTCTTGACAGCCAATTCCTGCAGCACCGTCGTCACCGAGAACAACACCGCTCCGCCGAGGCACAGCATGTCACCGACAAGCTGATTTTTTCCTTCACAGAGAGAGTTGGACATTTAAAAACGCCATCACATATTCTATCAGCGGAACGGCGATTAAACGATCACCTGTGGATGCAGGATCTTTATTGTCGTCGATCCCCGCCCAAACCAAACATCCCACCCCCATCAAGCAAACGGAAACGCCGACGATGTGCACCATTCTGTACCTCACGCCGAGGACCAAGCACGAGAGTGCCAACGCGACTGGTATGGCCACACAGTCGAGCAGCTGAAACAAATTTTCCAACGTCAACCATCGACGGACGTTTACATCATTAAAACTTCAATGCTGTGCGGATGACAATGACGAAGTTTGCGAGGGCTGCATCCACGTTCGATCAAGAATAGCCCGCCGCGGGGCGAGCGTATCGGGTCGAAGACCCGGCGTCCTCCTTTCATCGGTGGTAGTATATATTCGATACAATGGATGTTTCGCGCCATTCATTACTTCCACGAATACTACGGCCCTTCGATTGACGGCTAAACGACAAAAGTTTACGCGTTAACGTCTGCACGTAATTTCACGAGGATGAAAATCCCCTTCTCGTCTTTTAATTTTCTCCAGAATGAATCGTCTCGAGCTAGTTTTCACTTGGAAGTTACTTTTTAATAATCAGGCGAAAGCTGTTCTCTAGTTAGAAATTGAAGAAACGAAAGTAGTAATTCGTGCGTGGCAATTTTTGCTCGAAATATTCTCGGGGACGCTAAAGTCTCGTTCGTGCGAGCTGACCCGAAAATCACGAACTTCGTCATCGTTTTTTTAGCGAGGTGCAATGCTGAAGTCACGCGTGACATCATTAGCGCATACCTGTATACTAGCTAGGCTGGTGAATTGATGCGAGTATGTTACAAGTGTGCATGCTTCGACGTCAATGAGTGCCAACAACAAGTACCTCCATCCGCGGGCCCTTATGACTGAAATTAGGCCGTTCCCCACTCCTCTGCAGGACATCCAGGTTGTGTACACAAGGCTCATCATAACGTAATGCGGAATGTTTTGTCCTGTCTCGCAGAAAGCATTTACCAGCTTATGATACCGCGACATACCGCTCGATCCCTGCTCGTACAACAATAATTTCGCGCGAACGATCGCTCGTTAGTCACTTACCGGTCGGAAGCAAAAGCTGCAGCGAGGTGTTGATGTGATGATTTACGAGCGTCATGAAACACATCACCAGGGACAAAAATTGCCCCATTATTATCGTTCTCCATATCGCCCTGCGAATACAGAGAGAAAACATCGAAACATTTTCGAATATTTATATAATCCGTAACCGCGGCGTATTTTTCACCGCACGGCATCGTTTATTTTCTACGAGCAAACAAATGAAAATGTACTGAAGGATCGAGTAAACAACCGAAGGTACACACTTGCGGCCGACAATTTAAACGAAAACGCGTTTGCATAAACGAGACGTTCGATCGACCGACAGGAATCGATTGATGAGATCGGAAATTGTCGAAAAGAAAGAATCGCCTACAGCGAAAAATCAAGTGAAAATTAACACTGCGAACGTATGAATAAATCGTTCGTACGGGTAGTCGAGGTACGCGTGAAAATTCGTCGCGAACACCCGCCACTTTTATCCTCGAATTCAACCCCTCCCGCCCCCTGGTTGCCGCCGTGTAGCCGGTTCGTGGGCGGATCGACGGTTTCCTTCCAGGATCCTTCTCGCTGGCCGACGATCCATCACTTACGTACCACTGTCCGAGCTCGGATATGTAATTTTCGATTTTGTCGCAGATCCCATTCCTCGCCTGCATCGCCGTATTTTGACCGCAACAACGATCGCCCGTTGACACTCCCATGGCATGGTGCATTTTCGCCCTGAGGCTCTTAACCACCGGCGCTAGAATAAGGGCGCTTGCGCGACCTCTTTCCCTCTATCGGGTCTTCCAGCAAGGAGGGACCTCGGGTTTTTCGTTTTTCCAAACGCGACGAGAAACTGCGTACGCGGCCGAGAACACATCACTGCCGTGTTGCTTCGCGACGTCTTCTCGTTATTCTCGAGTTCGCATCGATCGCGAGACGCGCGTCACCGGAAGGAAGATCGATGGATGTTCGACGGTGCAACAGCACACGCGTCCCTATTCCGCTATTAAAGCTCCGCGCCCCTTAGATCGATCGATCGTTGACGACGAGCAACTTCCGTCCATTCCGTGGACAGTTTCACGCGATAAATCTTTACTTCGAGTTATTTTTTTTTGAAAGAGAACGTATTGAAAATGAGTTGGTTTTGTTTCGAGGGTTAATCGATAGCTTGGCCTCGTTTGCCGCAGGCAGCGATAGTATCATCGTTAGGGGAGGATTGGTAACGAGAAAGGCGATTTACTACGAATATAAAAAGAAAAAACAATACCTAAGTGATGTAATAGCTAAATAAAATATGTGTAGTCATAGGACTGGGACAAACTAGCGATCTTTTGGCGTCGTTAGAAACGGTCGATCGATAGAATCTCAGGACAGAGTAAAGAAGTATGTCTTTCTTTATTCTCAGGTAATCTCGTCGTAGATCGTTATTTACAACGTATTGACATCTTTGATTATATCGTAATTTCAGTCGTCAATGATCATTTAAAAAGTTCCCCACGTGTGATCGCAGAGATTCTTTCCGCAATTTATATAAACTTTAAACACCTTCAACTTACGTAATTATCTTATGTATGTATATCTCAAACATTACGTTAATGAGTTAAATTATTTATGCACAAGTGTGGTCGCCCGACGTATGAAAAGAAGGCAATCGTAACGTTTATGATAATGTAAGAATTTGTGCAGTCGGTTCCCGTGATCAATGATTAACAACATTTTGCAATTACCTATCTAAGGAGGAAACTGTTGGTTATACGATCCAGTCACCCTTACAAAGTTGGAAAAATAGGTTGGAAAAATATTTCACCAGTCTCCCAGCCTGATTCGCTCGTACGCGCGCACGCGACTCTGTAAGATTTTTTTTTTTTTAATGACAACGCGCTCTACGCGCGGCTTAAAAACTTGGCGCAAGACTCGAGGTAACGATAAATGTCGAATGCAAAACGTTCCGGTCTATCTAAGCAGCGTACGAGCGAAAACGTAGCTCCCTAAAGTTCGATCTTAGGTAGTCAAATGTTATTAATGCATCCCTTTTTGCGTGAAGAAGTTAGAGACTACGATTATCGAAGACGTTTCAGGGAAAGAAATCTTCCTCATCGAGTAACGATCGATTGGTCGTCCAGACGCGTGTACAACTACACGAGCTAAAGAATTTTATTTCTTCTTGGCCTCGTCCTCTACCGCTTCGTTCTGTTTGCGGAAGCAATCACCGACCGGGAAGAAGTCCCAACACCTTTGCTGATACATGTTCCACACGTACGTCTCTTGACCGGTGTACTCGGTGTCTGGTTTGTTGATTAAGTGCATGAGGAAGAACCTGGAAATAGAAATCAGTGCGATCGAACGTTTGAACGTGACGAGATCGATCGTATACGAGACCTTTGCATCGACGACTCACATATAATTAGCAAGATTATGCTCCTGTTGAACGTGCGTATCGAATCCATGGGGAACCGTGTCGAAATATTCCTTTCCTAAGCCACATATGAAGCAGTTGCTCTCCATGTTTGTCTTAACGTTCTCGAGCTGGTCTCGAAGCTCACCGAACGCGTCGATAATCAAACCTGAATGGGAAACGAAGGGATGATATTTCAGATACCCTGAAGGAATTACGAGTAAGACTTACCTTGAATAATAGCCAGCAAAATAACAATAACGAAGAAGAAGAAAGTGATGTCGAACATGATACGATAGACTTCGTAGTCGTCGCCATCGGGTTCTCCAATCTCGTCACCGATACCACCACCAGCTCTGACACCTTTGTACAAGTGGAACACGAAGCACTGCGACAAAAATATTAGTTAAATATTCGCAAAGGACAAAGACACACGTATAGTTTCTTTTAATTCGTACCGTTAACATGTCGTGACACTTCTTGTCCACCTCGTCGTCTTCCTCTTGGATATAAAATTTCCTAAAGAAGTTAAACGCTATGACCGTGTATATGTAGACCACGATAGTCAGCAACATCACCGTCAGCACCAATTGTTTGCCGTTGTGCGTAACGGATTGCAAGATCGTTCGTAGCGTCTTGAATCCAACCGCCACGTCCAGCAAGTGGGCCGCGAAGAAGAAGTTGTTGTAATTCCCGAGGATCGAGAAGATGAAGTACCACAAACTGTACAAAAATGCCTGAGGAAACACCAACACACGATGTAACGTACAAGTCACGACGCGATATTGTTTACAATCTTGATCAAACGTCACTCACATTGTCCGTGATGGTGACACCGGCCTTCCAAACCTGATACCTCCAGTCGATATTTACAATGCTGAAATCAATCGACGTATTATAGAAATTGAAATTGTCGCGTCCAAATTATCACGATAGTTCCACTTACAAGTGTATCAAACCAGAACCCTCCTCTTCCTGTTGGCTGAACGAAGTCTTCTCCATACCAAGCAGATTGCTGATGTAGTCGAAGTCGTAGGTCTCGCTGTACTTCTGTCGAACTTTCTTCTTCACGAATTTGTCCCAGTAATTCACGGGGAAGGTTTTCGCCGATATCACCATCTTGTCCCAGTGTGCCTTGATGTCGTCCTCTTCCGGTGTCTCGGCGATGTACAGACCGTCGAATTCCACCCTTCGCGCGATTTCCTTTTCCCGTTTAAAGATGGCCAGCGGCACCTGAAGACGTATTTTCGTAATTCGAAGCTCTAACGCAGCTGTTCTCGAATACCTTGGTATTCTTACCTTGAGGTGATAGTAGGCGACAAGCATAGCAAGCGAGACGATCGAATGTAAACACGCCATGAGCCTCATAACGTGAGCCATGTAATAGAAATCCTCGGACACTTCCACGTATTCCAACGCGTACGCGTCCTCCTCTTCCTCCGATTCGTCCTCCCCGCTACCGCTTCCCATTTCCACCCCGCTGCCACTTCCGGAACCAGATGGACCCTCGCCAGACATCTCTGCCAATATGTCCGCCATCACTTGACCACTGCCCTCCTCGTCCGAGTCGCCAGCCAAAGACGACACCTGTGAAACAATTTATGACGTAACGAGAATCTCACTCGCGCCAAGGTTCCGCGTGCATAGAATCGTCCTTGCCTTGTAGAACAGCAACATGAAATTGATGCAGAAAGCGAGGACCAGAGCGACGTATTTCAAGTTGTAGAAGTTCCTAGCCAAGAAGGATACGATACGATGCGTGTACTCGGAGAAGTCGATGCTAGAGGACGACGTCTCCGTGGTCGTTTCGTGTTTCGCCTCAGCTTCTACAGCAGCCATTGCTGCTTGTTGCGCGGCTGCTGCTTCCGCAGCTGCTGCAGCCTGAGCTCTAGCCTGTTCGCCACTGTTGACGAGCAAGAATATTTAAATCCACGTTCAACGTTGGTGCAGGAAGTTATAGAATATTTATCGTACCCTAGCAAGTCGGCCAAGGAAACGGGAGCTTCCGAGTCCCCGGTACCAGCTTCCGCCCTCGCACCTTCTTCTCCAGCAGCCTCTTCCGGCGTGCTCTCTCCAGTTTCCTCGATGCTCGATTGCGGAGTCGAAGCTGCCGATTCGTGCGGCGCGATCTTTATCTGGCCGCCTTCCTCTTTCGTTATATCCATTCCGAAGGCTTGCACCTGTGCAACGTATCGTTAAAATCCTACCTTATACATCGAGATAATCCAACAATCGTACCTGTAAGTTAGACTCGTCCGGCGTCGGTGGCAAGGCGGGTAGATGTCTCGAGGGTTTCTCTTCCTCTTCCTTCACCTCGACGACAGGCTCCTCCACGTGCGGTCCCTTCATCAATGCCAACAGCAGCCTCATAAAGTACCCAAGTATACAGCCAAACCCGAACCCGGAATAGTAGAACGCGTAGAATATCATTTTGAAGAATCCGATGAAGAGTTCCAGTATCGTCATCTGTTGCATCTCGGCGATCTTGTTCTTGATGTTGCTGGGCGAGAATATGGAGAAGAAGAAGTAAATACTGTCCTTGAATGTCTGAATGCCTCTTCTGATAGGATCCTTGTTCCTCTCCTCGTCGTCGTCCGTCATGTAAGTGTAGGACGACTCTCTCGCTTTTCCGATTCCTCCACTTTCTTCCACGGCCATCAACGCGCTCGCGTGTTGCATCTCAAAGATGGCATCCTCGCAGAAGTTGATGAAGGTCTCCAGCTTCTCCTTCTCCCCTGCCTCCACGACGGTGTTGTAGAAGTACGTTCGCTTCGACTCTTTGATCTGCGGCTTCTCCCATTGCTCGATGTTCGACTCCTTGATCTCGAAGTAGACACGCTCGATCTTCTTGTTGCCACCCAGGATCTCGATCCTGCCGAGGAAAGGCTCGAAGTAATTCAATACTGAGCCAGCTGTTTCGAGGAACCTCGCCAGTCTGGGCTCGTTGGGCATGTGCTCGGACAAGTTGGTGAGCAAAACGGCAAGATTGAAGCCGATCTCTTTCGCTGGCTCGTGGAAACGGTCCATGAAGGCCACGTAGTCGATCTTGCCGTCGTGGTTCGTCTCGCAACAGGCCAGTAGAAACTCGATCTCCTCGCTAAAAGAATTTTATTAAAAGTCCTGTTCGTCTCTATCCAACGATCCGAAGAACTTACTCTGTGTAACTCTTCTGCTGTTCCATTTTCTCCTTGAAATCCTTGGGGTACACCCAGCCATCGCTGTTGAGGTCCACTTCCAGGAAGCTGGGGGACGATACCAGGTCCTTCAGCTTCAGGAACATGTCGAAGTACTTGAGAATTAATTCCACGTTGCCCGCAGACTCTACCAACGTGTCCACCATCTGCTTTCCGATCGTTCCATTTACAACGTTACCTGCGACGAAAAATGTTGTAAGAATCGAAGTAGAAGTCATCGAGTGCAATTTAGAATCTGGGAGGAATACCTTCCAGCATAGACAGCATCATGGTGATCATGTCTTTCTGCAAGTTCAACAACTCCTTCAGAAGATCCACTTGACTCGAGTGCTTCGATAGTTTGTCTTGCATATGAGAGAACAGGAAGAGGAATCCACCAACGGCGTCCCACAATCGAGAGTGCGCCAGTGCCTGTTGATTCTGTGCACAAGGTCCCTGGATCACTTCGGTGAGGGTGTTGAAGACTTGACTGGCAACGCCTATGGCTTTGAAGAAGTTAGCCTTGCCAGCAGGGTCGATGAGCTCCTTGCTGGAGTAGTGCCAATAGAAGTCCATGATGGACTCCTGAAGTCGCAGAAGGTAATCGACGGTACAAATGACCACGTTCACGGTTGTCGTGTTACCAGCCTGCGTTCTCAGATAGTTCTGCCAGTCTATCAACATCGAAAATCCTCAGTAATCGTGTCCTACAGTTTCGTTATTGCACGAAATCTTAATATAAAGCAACGTACCAAGATTGTGACCCTCGCAAGTCAGTTGGATGAATCGAAACAGAGCACACGTGAACTCTGCGTCGTGCATGTTCTTCTCACCAGCTGCACCCTCAGAACCAACACCGAGTCCTTCAGCTTTCGTGTTCCTTTCGAACGCGTCCAGGTCCAGGACGCTGCAAGAATTCATCAAACCAGCGATCGAGGTGAAGAATCCCACGTCCTTCTTCTCCTTCAAGTGGTTCAGCATTCCTCGTTGGATCTCTATGTTACCGCCGCGTAGAATGGAGATTCCCAGTTCCAAGGTCTTCATAACCATCTCGCTGGGCAATCCTTTACAGGCTGATATATGAAGCAACACCATCTCCGCCACACCGCGATTCGCCAGACGCGTTTGGTGGAAGAGAAGCTTCTGCTTCTCCATTTCTTGTTCCTGGAAAAGCAACGCGAATCGAAGGATCGCTAATGCGTTCTCGAGTATTGATCTTTAAGCATGTATGCAAGTGTCTTACCATGAGTTTGTACATTGGTCGCTTCGGGAAAGCATTAAAAAAGCATCATAGTGTTGGTTAATGAGATTAGCAACAGGTCGAGGTTCGGGTGAAATGAAGGCAATCAAAGGGGAGTGTGATTAGGGATTCGGACATCATCGACGCAAGCATAATTACGTATCGTTAAACACCTATGACCGTACACAAGTTAATTTTGATTGGGTAGTCTATACGATGAAGGTTGCTTTGCACTTAGCAATGGTAGCATTTCCAAGTCTGAATTAAGGAGCGTACACATGGATGCGAATGAATCTCCGCGATAACTACTTATTCTTACCATAAGTAGCTTATGTGCCGCCTTCTACAGGGTTAGTACGTGAGAAAAAGACAGGAAGTTGTTAATAAGTTTCACGCATAGCGGACAATTTTCCGTAATTCTCATTTTTTCTTAAGCATCATGTAATTAAGTTTACGTATCGTTTACGACTTTCGAGAGTCTCGTTAGCAAAAATTGCGACAGAAGCGTTTCGAATACTTACGTGGATCGAGGCACCCCCTTCCTCTTCACCTCCCCCACCCTCGTCTTCGCCTTCCTCTTCCTCCTCGCCGCAAGATTTCGATATAATTTGAGCGTAACTCATGTACAAGGGATCCTCTTGAAGAGCACCGGACCGTTCTGTCATGGCGCCACGGCAGAATGTTGTTACGAGTTGCGTCAGAGGATCTGGTTTTCCCTCATCCTCGGCTTTGTCCATCTTCTTCAGTTCTGCGTCCTCGAAAGATTGCTACGGGAATACGAAGGGATCGGTTCTACGGTTCTGCATCAAAGCGTACAAAGATCGTTTTGGGTAGAATTAATTAGAAGTACCGTAAGGTCTTCAATCATAACTTCTTGACCGACGTTCTCATCCTGCAACCAGAGCTCGTAGTACGTTCTCGCAAAAATGTTTATAGCCCGATGCCTGGAATACCAAACCCCAATTATTGTATACAGTAAAGCGTAGTATCAGTATCAAACAGTTACTTTACCTTCTTAACTTGTAAAGCGGCTCGCTACGCAGACATGCAATTGCTGCCCTCTTTCTGGCCGCACACAACACGCGCTTCCATCCATCTCGAGATGGTGGAGGTTTCGTTGCCTTTTAGCAGCATGCACACACAACTATAGTTGTTAGATCACTAGCAAATAATCAAAGGATACGTCGTCGACGGTCAACGTTACCCATTGCTACTCTTACGCAAGCTCTCGTGAACAGTACGAAAACCAACCGAAGTACTTGGTCACTGGTTTCCATAAAAGTAGAACGCAACACAAACAGAATCAAACGTAAAACAAAAACGATAAGTTCCTAAGATGCAACAAAGGCATAAGGAGCGAACGGTGAATTCGATTTCTCGTCGATCACGATCGAAGCAAACGCAAGTCTCGCGTAACACCAGTAACGCGATCGAACCAAAAGAGGATACCTGGGCAAGGAATGTAGGGAAGTTTGACGGAAACAAGCGATCACCGCTCGTTTACGTTGTATCGACACCACGGATCGATATTGACCCTTGCTCTGCTGTTGCGGATGATCTATCTACTCGAGAACACAAAATTACTAAATGAATCGATCGAGGTCTCCAACGAAGCAGCTTCAACTATTTGAGAAACAGTGGTCGTGGAATAAATTATGTTCAGCTACCGGAAGGAACATCGAATCTCTACTCACCATGTGAAGACCGTAAAGAACTTTGGCCATGTCGGTGATCCTTGCAACGACGTCCTCTAATTGCTGCGCCTTAACCGGTTCCATGGAGTCCTTCTTCTGGCCCAACTTGGAATACAAATAATGCTGCCAGGACATCTCATCGGCTGGATCGATCTTGTCCGGCAACGTCAGCTGCGTCTTGGCGAACTCGGCGATGTCGTATTCCGGCATCTTCTTCAGAAACCTGTCCTTGCAATGCTGCACCAGCTCCTGCTCGCGTCCAGCGAACAAGTTCAAACCGACTGGTAGCAGCCTCTTCAAGCAGGCTACCATCAAGGACGCTTGCACCTCTTTGTCCTTGTCCCTCTTCTTGTCACGGTGTTTCTTCTTTTTCTGTGGACCAAATAATATTGCAAGTTAAAATAACTTCTCTCTCGAATAAAATCTTGACACCGACCTTGCCTCCGCCGGATGGTGCAGTTCCATCGGAAATAGCGGCAGGCCTCCTGGTCGCCGTTGGCATAATGAGCACCATGTTATCGATCTCGTTCGCGGATATGAAGTTCTGTTCCTCCCGCAAGAAGTACTGGGACTTGGACCAAATGTTAAATATCGCCGCCACGTGATTGTAAAGGTCCTCGGCCTCGGAGATGTTATTCCTCAGCCAGTGATTCCTCTGCAGATCGACGTACTTGATCAGAAGAGGATAGAACGAGTAGATATCGCGAACCAAGAGTTGCCAGTCCTCCTGAATCTGAGCCTCGACCTGCGACGTATCGTCGGTGGACGATTTGATAAAACCTCGTAAAGATTCTTCTTTGTGGAACATGTTATCGGTGCGTTTCCTGACGCGTTCAGCGAGTGGCAAGAAGGGATCCTTCAGCAGCTCCTCCGACGAGTTGATGATGATCTGTTGAGTATACGCGGCGATACGTGTCATCCACGGAGCGTTCTCGTTGCCAATGTTCTTCTTGGTCAATTTCAAAACATTCTTCAGAAGCTGGTTCATGTGATCGCTGGTGACCATGCTAACGTACGTTCCCTCCGTTGGATTCACGTTGTCCGGTCCCTGTGACCACCAGAAGGGCAAATAGGAGCAAAGCAGAGGCAGAATGACGTCGACCACCTGTGGAAGATCGTTGTAGGTCTTATCGGACTCGACGAACTGATCAACCTCTCCCAGGATCGTTTCCAGCGTTGGCATGCTCGACTCCATCTTCGACATTATGTCCTGGGCTTCCAAGGAATGGTCGGCGATACGATTCAGAAGGGAAAACTGATTGTGCTTGTTCAGATGCGGCTCCAGGAAGGCTACGGGGAAGCAACTCGAAAACGCGCCCAGACAGGAGCCCAAGTTAGGCTTGTGGCGTTCGATCTCCGTCTTCAAGTACTTTCTGTCGTGCGTCAGGGACGAATCCACGCCCAGGGTGTACAGGGACGCCAGCATTTTGTAGGACGCCACTTGAATTTCGTCCACTGTTAAGAAATGAACGAATTAACGCTTGTCGATTTAACACGAAGATCGTTTACTTACGTAACAGATCGCTGCCATACTCGCATGCAGCCAGATGATCGAACATGGCTGTGAGTACCGGTAAGACGACGCTGTTGATGTACGACAAGGACGTCGAGGTTTTCAAGTGCGTGCCTCTGAGGTGGCTGTATTTGCCCTCTTGAAGATTCAGGATCGTGTGCCCCAGATCGTCAGCGGTGTTGTTGAAGAAGGTCAACATGGACGTTCGAATGAACTCGGGGCAGTTCTTCACCAAGCTCTTCGCGTCTATGCCTTTGACCAGCACCTGAAGACAACGGACGGTGATCCTAACGTCAGGCCCGAAAGCAGCGAGTCTGGACCTGAGCAAGCTGGCCAATTTGCAGAAAAGGGCTGCCACCATTTCCTTCTCCTTCAAGGACGCTGCCCCGACGTTGTTGGTAGCCGTGGCCACGGCGATGAAATAATTCCTGTGAGTGCTGAAATACTTCTCCATCAACGGCAGGACCACCTTGCTGAAGAACTTGATGTCCCGCGTGGATGTCTTGAAACTGTTGCGTCGACTGAACGTGTCGGACGGTTTCAACAGTTTCATGTTGATCGTCGCTTTGTCCAAATAAGCTATCAGTTTCTCCAGCAACGAGTAGGCGAATCGTAGTTCCACGGAGGCACCAGCGGTAGTAACCTCGGATTCACCGCCTCGATTAGGTTTGTGAAGCTTGTATCCTTGATACTGCAAATACTTGAGGAACTCCTGGGAACGTTCGCGATCCTTTCGTTTCTCTTTGTCGGTGAGCAGATCGTACGGTACCAACTGTGGGTGGATGCCACCTCCTACGAAAGACAACAGATATTTATTCGAAGAAGTTATTTTGGATTTTCTATCGACACGAACCGCAAGTGATGAGCTCTTCCTTCTTCTTCTTGGCCCAGATGTCGTGTGCGTTGTCTGCGAGACGCTCGGCCATGTTCTGCATCTCTCTGCTCAGCGTCAGGTTCGTCATATCGACCGGATGAGGATTGTAATTAAACGGATTTGCAGCATCACCCTAAAATTGTACGGTGACGCAAAAATCGACACGTTGAGAGAAATATTTCTAAACGAAGCGTCGACTCACTTGACTTTTCGATGATCGTCTCATAGAACTACGATTGGTCGAAGGTACGTCCACCTCGGCGTGTTCAACGCTCCATCCTATAGCCAACAAAGCTTTCAAGCTCTCCCTGACCGGTTCTTTGTAGCGTTCCCTCTCGTAATCGTTCAGCATGTTGTACGGTTTCAGTCTAGGATGAGTTTTATTTGCATCTGACCACTGTTCGCCATAAGTCCAACCGTTTTCTAGCTTCCGGCTGGCCCAAGCGTCGTGATAATGCTCGGAGAACTTTTGTACGATTTGATTAAGATCGTTGTTGAGAACCACGCTGTCGAAAGTAGAGAAAATTTAAGCGTTACTCAAAGTTGATCGTTGTATCTCGCGTGTTTAGGACAGTAGAATACCTAGAGGTGTTGATTGGTTGCGGATTGTAGGGTCCATCGGGCGATTGCGTGGACGCGGATTTGCTTCCGTACCACTCGTCGTCGTAGTTCTTAGACAAGGAATAATCGGGCGGCAGAGCACAACCAATGGCCGTGAGACAAGGCAGAGCCTTTCCAAACAATTCCGGATCGTAGTCCATTTTAGACAGCGAGTCGAATATGTTGCTGAAGAGAACCATGGTCAAACGTTTCTCTTCGTCGCTCGATGCACCGTACGCGCCTTGCCCACCGGTCGATCCGTAGTATTTTGCGCAACGATCGTAATGCAGAGTCAGCAACTGTCACAAAAAATAATTTACACGTTGCTCGAATTAGAGAAATGAATTATCGAGAACGAGATTCTCACCCGTAGAGCGACCGTAGTGTATTCCGAGAGCTTGGACACGTCCACGGTCAACTTTCGGAGTAGCTTCAACAGCATGCTGGGTTGCATTTGGCTAAAAAGAACCGGGTGAATTAGGAACGACTCGTCGACGGATTGCGTTGATAATAAAGAATGCTATAAGCGCTGATCGCCCTCATAGCTTATTATCTGTGACGTTTATCGTAGGCGGGGATAAGCGGTTTAAAATAATGTTGGTAGAACTTACGAGACATTTAACTCGTGGACTTCTCTTGTTAAGCAACAAAACGATTCCGTTAATTATTTTAATCATGTGTCAAAGAAGCTCGTGTTTACCTGGTCAGTGCCACGAGGAAGTCCGACACAGCCTCTCGCTGACCCTTCGTTAGCATTCTGTTCTTGCTCAATCTATAGACGGTGTGCAGCGTGGCGTCCAGTAAGCTGGCGTAATTGTCCGCCTCGTTGTAGAATTTGGAATGCTTGATCAGCAGAGGCAGAATACTGTTTCCTATGTAACGGTTCATCGCCAGGGCCATGTCGGATTCGTAACCATCGTTCTGTAGCAACGATAATAATTTTCAATGAACAATCAATGATCAATGATCGATGTCCAGAGTTCTACTCACCCTGTCGAGCATAGTGGCGGCTCTCAGGTCGGGCAAGAAAGCTTCCTCGAGTATCTTGAAGAACAGCTCCTGCGTTTCGATGCCGTAAACGCGTTCCAAAAACAGGACGATGCTTTGCTTGTGTCCTGGGATCAAACCTGACGGCATGTCGCTCTTTGGTTTTTCTTCGCCAGCCGCTGGATTCAGCAGGGTGAACCTCAGAGACAGGACACCCTGTAGGTCGTCGAGGGGCACCAGAGAACGCAGAATAGCCCTTGCTCTCAGAGACTCGTTCTTCCCTGAAATGCGTGCTCGACCTCAGTGTCGTTCTCAGAATGCGATCGCAACGAAAAGAAAATTTTTATTACGTATATATTACCGACGGATTCTGTAGAAGCCTCTGTAGCTCGATAAAAAAAATAAACACTCTTGTTAGATAGTTCTTTTCAATAACGAGTTTTTTGTGGAAACATGAAGGAGTTCGTGATACACTGGGCCACGGTTCGAAAATGAAAATAATCGCGTCTATCGCTTCCGAGGTTCTGGATTTGTGTAAAATGACGAAGCAAGTGCTACGATCACGACACACAATGCAGATATCACCGCCATGCTTATATTACAAAGAGTAAATCCATGAGAGTATGGTCGAGGGGTGCTTGTGGTCCCAATTTTTACTCACCTTGTTCGATAACGGACGAATCAGGAGCACAGCGTCCTAATAGATCTACCAGGGTACAGTAGAAGTTCAAGATCGCTGCTCCAGTGTCTATGTAGTCTTCGTCGTCGTCTGATTCTGGGAGGGGATGCTCGAACTGCATCATTGATGTACCTTCCGCTTCGTCGTGCACCTGTGTTATCAATTAATTCGATATTGTATCACTCGTTAACGATAACACGATGCAACCTACTTTTCGTCGATCAGCGATGCGTTCGGACATTTTGTTGGCGTCTATGATGGCCCTCAATAAACCTTCGCCCTCACCTCGAAGGGCTGGTCCCAAACATTCTGGTCTTCTGATCAGCAAACGTATCACCAGATTTGCGTTTTCCTCGACGCTTTCGCCTGAAAAGATAAATAAACAATTTACATATCTTAGCTAGAGGAGTGGTCAAATTCGACACTCACCGTTAACCCAAACGCAGAATCTCAAGAAGTCCAAATATCGTTCACCCTCCACCGGATCCCATCCCAGATCAGGGTAACCTTTCTCCACGAGTTCAGAGTTCGATTGCAAGCCACAACGGGACAAATAGATGGCGATTTTCTCGAGATAGTGTTCCCTGAGCGCCAACGCGAGTTCCGTGTTCTCCATCAGCGAGGAGTAAGCCACGTCCAAGGGCGTGGATCCTCTCAAAGATGGCCTCGACAGCAAAATATTACTGTTCTCCAAGAGAAAGTCGAAATGATCGAACATCGCCTTCTGGTTCTGCCTGGACGTGCGACAGAAATAGCAAAGGAATCTACAGCAGGCTACCACCATCTCGTGAGACGTGTCCTTTTCCTTGGAAGCTGGTTCGCCTTCCGTGGTTTGAGGCTGCGTCTGAGCGTCAGACTGAGCCTGCGCGCGTCTGCCCAGCGTGTTCATCATGATCGCCATCACGTTCTCGTGAATCCTCAGCACTCTGATCAGATCCGGATGCTGGAAGAAGGTGTGATTGTTCACCAACTTCCAGAGTCGCTCTCTGACCAGCTCCTCTTCCTCCTGAGACATTTGGACGGGCAGCAACGCGCGAATCTGGCTCAGACCGACCCACATCAGGGCAGCGTCGTCTCTCGTTTTACTGTTGATCACGTACGTCTTCTCCAGAGCTCTGATCAGTTCGCCCACGGTGTCGTACTGACGCACCAATAGACTGAACATCTCTCGAACCAACTTCGGAGTCTCGATCTGGGATTCCTCGGCCCAGCTAACGATGGTCGATATGAGGACTTTACGGAACACCTCTGCAAAAAAGTATGAGCACAGTTTGAGAATGGAGACCACCACAATTTTAATCTACTCACCTTCCGGAGTCTTCCTTTCCGGTTCAGGTTCTGGCTTGGGCTCCTCCTCCAACTCTTTCACAGCGTTGATGAAGTTGAACAGTTTCTTCATAGCGCCAGGCTTCTGAACGTCTTCTTCCGGCTCGTTGGCGGCGTCAGCAGCGTCTTGAAGCGCGTGCAGGGACACGTAAGACATCAGATTGGTGTGGAATTCGTTCATCCTGCCTATCAGATCCTCTCCGCAGGGCACGTTGTCCGGATCGTCCGCGAAGTCCATGTTCTTGAAGCTCAGAATCGAGTTCATCTGCTCGCGAGGAGGGCACCGAAACTCCTTGGTCTTCTTGGCGGCCACCGCCGACGGTAAATCGGACTGCTTGATCTCGATGTAACGACGAAGCTGGTCGGACTGCAGGTCGCCAACGAAGTCGTGGCTGAAGGCGATGATGGACTCGACGCGATGTCGTAGCTGGATGTCGTTCAGATGATGAAGCAGGTAGCACATCTGCAGCTTCGCTCCCTCCGCCATTTTCATGTGGAGTAGTCCCTTCTTGTGCTCGTCTTTTCCCTCTGAAATTCGTTTTTAACAAAGCACTGAGAATAATATTGGATGTCTTCCGTTTAGGGATCAAGGCACGGTCAAGTGTCTACCTTTGTCGAACGTAGGGTCCCAAGTTTCAGGATGAATCATGATGAGAAGCTTCATGATATCTTCGTTCCTAAGCATTCCAACTAGGAGTAGTCTATCAACGAGTTTCAAAAGCGGCCTGTAAAGCAAAACGATTGTATCAGTGAAAGGCGTACGAACAAGGTTTGAGCCTGTAGCAGTAAGCAGCGCAAATTATCCTGAAAGCGTCTTCTTCTTGTCGCGATATCGTCGAGTTTAATCATGCAGAACATAGCCCAGGCGTGCGCGCGTACAGAATCGTACATACAGGAAAAGATTCTCATTGCTGCCGCCGATCGGGTCTCGATTGTGAACTTGATTGACCTCGACGGCTTCGTTTAAAGCCTCCATCACGTAATCTCGCACCACGTCCAGCGGGAAGTGCGGACTGTAGAGGCTCCTTATGTTCTCGATCGTTTGGTCGCTGGAAGGAATTTCCCTTGATGTCGACTATTAGTTACGGGGTTCACATCTAGGTTTCGATTAAATACACTTACCTGATGTCCGTCATTTTCATCTGGGGACGAACGGACTCGGTCTCCAGGTACCTGAGGCTGTGCCTCATCTCTTCGTTTTCGTATAACTCCTTCAATTCCTGACCTGGAAACGTTTATCGGTTGGACGTATGGGAATATTTATCGAACAGATAACGAAGGTCTTACCTAGAGGAATAATGTACTCGTTCTTGCACACTTCCATCGTCGTTGCGTGCGACTCGAGGTGCAGAGCGATCAGCAGGTCGTAGAATCCTTGTCGTAGGGGCCCGGACATGTACTCTGCTCGGATAGCGTACAACAGTTGTTTCTGGTCGACGTGTTGGCACAGAGCGTGGGCTGCTCTGTAGTTCGACTGATAGCACAGAGCTGCATACAGCGTCAGGGTGTGCGCGTGGAAGCTGTTGCAATCGAAACGTTAAAGCGTTGTGAAACAGTATCAAACATCGTGTCTTTACAAATTACCTGAGTAATTTGTCCATTTCGATGAGCTCCAAAATGTCGATGCACCTGTCCTCCTCGGGGATGTGCAGGGCCAGCATCGATATCGCGTCCTCGCACAGCATGGACCAGCCTCTGATGTCGGAGAGCTTCAAAGCGTGCACCTGGAGCGACTGATTGGGCACTCTGGCCCACTGGTGGGGTTTCAAGCATTGCACCTTCAACCTGGGCGGGAACTGCGGGATAACGTGGCGTTCAGAGTTCTGCAAAACGGCCGCGGACAACGGCAGCGTGGTCGAGGTTCTGCCTAGCTCGATTTGAAGTATCTCTTTGCTGGTGGCCTCCACGAAGATGGCGGGGAACAGCTTCGTGTCCGGTTCCATTTTGAACTTGTGGCTGGTCTCCTTGCCCTCGCAGGTGAAGGACACCCAACCTGTAGCTGTGTCCACGAAACAACCGACGAACATTCCCTGGGACGCTCCTTTACCGGAAGCATCCTGCGTGACTTCGTTGTAGAGCTCGTCTGCTCTCACCATGTAACAACTCTGTCTGTCCACTCTGTAACGCAAACGGGGATATTATATTTGTTTATTAGACAGCGCTTTACGCGCGGAGCAAGTGATTTTAACGTACTGTTCCACGGGACGTTCGTAGTCGTCGGTGATGACCACCGATCCCTTTCTCACGCGAGACAAATTGAAGTCCTTGGTGTGTAGGTGGTATTGAGACGTGACCCAACCAACGTAAACGTGAGTTGGGTCCTGTCCAGGGAAGATCCTCACCCCGTAAAAGTACTCGTTCATCAGCTTCAGACACTCTGCGTCGTATATTTCGTTCCCAATCGCCTCGACGCCAGATCCGCTCAAAACGGACATCGCTTTCGGAGCGTTGCGTTCCGGGATCTGCGGTGGTATCACCTTCAAGTCCGTCTATGGAAGAATCGAACGGTTTAATCGAAATTTCAAAACGAGTGTTTCAATTTTTGTTCAGTTTTGCTCTGAAGATTTAGTTCCGGCTGGATCGCAAAAATAAATAAATAAAATAAATGTTTTTACGTTTGATATGCGAACTTGAGGTGGCCGGCTACTTGCTTTGTTCATCTGCAGAGTTTTGGTGCTTTTGTCGGAGACGTCGGAGCGCACCGGTGGTTCGGGCGTTTTCGATTTCGCGTCCGGGGACTTCGCTTTGCGCGAGAAGAACCTACGAAATTTCATAATTATCCTCCGACGTTATAGATAATTTCACATTAAATTCATGCATAGAGAATCGAGCTAGCAAGGGGGAACATCTCTGAAATTCTAATAATGGAAAATTTCTAGTTTGACTTACGGTGCATCCTCCATCTCTTTGCTAAGTTTGCTAGGAAGGTTCAAATATCAGAATTCGTCCCAAAAGTTCGCCAGAAATATTTGTTTTGCTTATACTAACCGGAACGGTGAACGCCCACGCTTCTTCTTGTCATCCTTCACGTCGCCGTTCATGTCGCCGTATCCGTTCATCTCAGTCTCGCTGATGGCGTTCTCCATGTTCCCAACCCTCGAACCATAAAGGGAACCTTTTCTAGGAGGTCTGGTGGGTTTGTTTCTCTGCATGGGCAACGGCGACTCCTTCATCATTTCGTCAGCTTCCACTGCATCCTCTGAATAGTTCCTCTGCAATCCTGAAACGATCAAGATTTTATCAATTTTAGAATTAGAAATTTTTAATCTTTGTATCCATGGACTTTCTGTTACTGTATACCTTCGAGGAATTCAAACGTTGGATAAATATACACTTTCACGCGTCCAGAATAGACTTGCTCGAATATACGAGCCATTCCTTTGACATTACTCAAACTCGTTTAAATCTGGAGGGATCGACTGTGCTGAAAATAAATCCTACCTTTAATGTCACTCATGCTGAAGCCAGACTTCATGATCTGCTCCATGTGAGCCGATGGCGCGGCCTGTTGCGCTTGTTCCACTTGCTCGGACAGCAGTCTGTTCTGACGCATCTTGATCTCTTGCCATCTTCGTAACTTCTCACTCTCGGAGACGAACGTCGACTGACAGATGACTGGCAACGACAATCGTAGGAATTCCCAGTTCGCTTTTTCCATGGTCTCGAAGGTGTTGTGGGAGATCTTCAGGCATGGCGGAGTATCGGAACCGGCTGGTATTCTGGCGACGTCTATCCTCGTGTCGGCCATGTCGTCCGTGTTCTCGAAGATCGGCTGATCCTTCGTGAACCAAAATGTCACCGGGCGATTCATATTTCTGGAAGATGAAAAGACTATTGAACACCTTGCAAATTAATAAGAGCTTTGTGAGAACTAACGAATCACTTACACGCAAAATGGCTCGTATCCTTCTTGCAAACCGCAAGTCGTGAAGAACTTGAGAGTGTTGACGTCCTGTCCGAATGTTAATTTCGCTTTTTGGCCAACCCCGAGCGTGAAAGCTGGGACAAAACAGTCGCCCTGCACGTCGGCGAAAGACGTTTCACCACCGAGCGCGTCCATCAGCAATTCTCCGTTGAGAGAAAAGCCTAGACGAGATTATATTATATTGACACTAACGTCGATCAACTATAGAGACTAATCGATAGCAAGAGAATGTTCTAATTAAGAAAATTTTTACTAAAATTGTCACTGAAGCATCGTTAACACATAGATATAAAAGAACTACACAAAACTATGCAAAGCAAGTGCAAAAATTAGTCGACTAGAATGTTAGGCATGCATAGAATACTGGTTCGAAATAATAAAAAAAAATATAAAAGTAAGGCTCCGTTATCGAGATGTGTAATAAAAAAAATAATAATAAAATTTTCAGAAGAAGATATAACGAAGAAGTAGAAGGGTGGTTAATGTTTATTCAAAGTGGGATTATTTCTCCTCGAATCAGATTCGTCGCTATATATTATTCGCTGTTGTTTCTTAATTTTACTATTGTTTTGGAGCAAGCAAGCGTGGCAATTTTACAGTAATTCGGGGTCACCATTGTGGTTAGTGAGTATGACCAGTATGGATTACGTAAGCGCTGTTGTCGCTGACTGTACAACACTGACAATGAGTAGAATACTGGATACCAAAAAAAGACAATAACTGACATCAAGCTACGTCGATAGGACATGATTTTATTAACAATGGTAACGCCAGGATTAACAGGTTGATTGTGCTATGAAACTTAAACGTAAGCGCAGCTGCAGCGAAAGGGTGAAATAAGAATTGATAACCAATGAGTACTTGCTCGTTTCGCGAAAGCAATTCTCAGAGTCTATTTTATTCTTTCCTTGCGGAGTTGCTGCTGAGTTTGGACGATCAAGCGAACAACATTCGCGTCGACTGTACAAAACACGATAAACCAATCAATACGGGATGAGAGAACCGAAGGAGATTTTGTCGAATGGAAGCTACTAATTCTTGGGTGTCCAATTAGTGCGTCGTTAATGGATTTGTCCGATTTTGAATCCTCGTTTGCAAGTTTGTGGCTCTATGTTTAGAATGTCTGTATCCAGTAGTCTATCTCTGTACTCAAATTATACGTGTATAATAGCTTGAAATGGCAGCTGAAGCGTTCGCTTAAAGATTCCGTCTTACTAATCGTTCGGTCAATTAGATCCAGGAATACCCCGACAACGTCTCCAACCTGCCATTGTTTGCCAAATGTTTCGGCTGTGCCCGAGTATACTTTTTCCTCCTTTAAAATAAAATTTCACCAATTCAACACTTCCTCACACGTGACGTGACGCGAACCGTGGCAGCCATATAACAATAAACTACTCCATTCAACGTCGATTTCGTTTGTGCGCCATCGCGATAAACATCGAGACTCGAACGAAAGGGGGCGGGGGGAGGAGACATACACACTTGATCGGTACACTGTACAGATGTAGCTTTGAGAAACGATCTCCGCAGATTCCGGCGACATCGATAGAAATCAAGCCACACGTTCGAATGAAATTCCCATCGATTTCATTCACATCGGGGACAAGGATGCAGAAAAAAAGTAAACAACCAAGTCAACATGAAATAAACATATAGAGACAAAGACAATAGTAGTAGACGTGAAAACTCAAAAAATAGTGGACCTTTTAGATCGGCTATTGAAAATATTGGACTCTTACTGATCGTTCTGTCCGCGACGTCAATGAAACATCCAACAATGTCGCCCACTTGATATTTGTGGCCAAACGACTCGTGGCTACCAGCGTGTACTTTAGTCACCTGATGTTCACGATGGATATCAATTATTCATCACTTTTTCACGCAAACCGTCGTCGATAACGCGAAACGATCTATGTTTATTGACAATTTTATCTTACCGTGGACGCTGTTGATCGTAAATGCATACAATTAATTCTACTCGCGTCGAGAAACGCGCTGTCCAGAAGCTAACGTTGTCGCGAAGTTAATGTTCATCACGGTTTCGAAAGACAATATTTGAGGACTTACGTTGTAACCGTCGAAAGCCCAAGTGTTCTCGTCGCTTCCCAGCATGCTTCCAGGCATACACTCAGCTTTGGCCCAACCTACGCGCATTGGACCAGCGGTTAGAACCTCGAACTCGAAGTACCACTTTCCGCTGCTTACAGCATAGTGTTTCTCGACTCGATAGGTCCTGAAGGACGATTGTCGTAGTCTGCTCGCCTCCAGCAGTAGCGCTGAAATTTAACGAACGATTCCACGATGAGTCAGGACTGGAAACAATTCTCTTAGCAAACTCTCACCTTCGTGCTGCTCCCCTGTGGGTGGTTCCAGCATGTATCCGTAAACTAACAGCGTCCTGACGGTTTCGCTGGCGGTGTCGCGATTAGCTTTCTTGATGGCTTCGTCTACTTTCGGATACGGCACCAGATGAGGGCTCCTCCTCATCTCGGAGTCTTCGTTCAGCGCGTAAGTCCAGCCTTGGCTGATCCTCTCCTTCGCCCACAAATTGTGTGTGTTCTCTGCCAGCTGATCCACCAGTTCCTCCATCTTTGGAGTGAGCGAGATGGCGGTGAGGTCCAGAGGAGCTGGCTTGTAACCGCTGCTCTGCATAAAGGGTTCGTTCGGAAGCCTCAAGGTCTTTATTCTGGACGGTGGTTTGTCCATGGTTATGTAATATCCCAGGGCCAAGATGGTCTTCAGCGTCTGCACGGCCAGTTGTGTGTCGTAGCGTTTCTCCGCAGCCGGTAGCCTCTCGAACTGCACGATGCAGGGATGAATCTTCCTCAGGTCGTCCCTGTGCTCCCCGTAGATCCATCCGGCCTCGATCTTGTTCATCGCCCACATCTCGTGGATGTTCTCCGCCAGTTTGTCCCTGATCTGTTCGACGTAGGACGGCAGGTTGATCATGGACGTGTCGACCGGCGCGGGGACGAAAGCGGTGTCATCTTCGACCAGCCACGGGCCAGCCAACACCACCTTGTTCATGTTCCCGAAATAGAAGCAAGGGTCCAGCGACAGGATCTGCTGGGGCAACAGACTCTCCACCAAGGGCGAAAATTCTTCAGGGGGCTGGAACTTTAGACGACCGTGGTCGCCTCCCAGGAGGAATCTGCAGGACAGTTTCGAGGAGCAACTGATCGAGGGGAAGAACATCCCGTCCAGGTTGAAGTTTCTGAACGATCCAAGGATGGGCGCTCCGTTGAAGGTGAACGTGATGATCGGAACCGTCAGATCCAAAGCGCACCCGATCACGTCGCTCTTCCTGATGTAAGGCTCCGTGGCGTTGAGGACCACCTGAGTTTTCCTGCCACCGGTCCACAGGTGCGCGCCATCGAAACCGAACGAGTAAAGATCGTCGCCCACGCCGTTGCCACCCCATTTTTCGCCTCCTCCTGGATACGGCATGTACCTGATCGAAGACAGAAACGATGAATCGCCAAGTGTTGCTACGAAACGAACGAACAAACATACCCTGCCGTGTTCGCCCAGCCTATTCTCAAATGAGGCATCATGTGCGTGGTCTGCTCGATGTGGTCGACGGTGACTTCGAAGTACCACTTCTGATAAAGCGCCGATCCCTCGACTCTGCCGACGAATATGTTCGGTCTGATGCTGGCCACGTGGTCCACCAGCTGGGTTTGAAGGAGAAGATTCTTCCCTGGCAGCAGGAAGTCGCATATGTTGTTCTGCGACGATCGAACCGCGACGCCGTTACCCACGCACAGCGAGCAAAGGACGTCCAAGACTTTTGGGTCCCTTCCGTGCTTCTCCAGCAGCGAGATGATGACTTTGATGTGTTCGTCCTGCAGAGGCAAACGCTCAGAAAAATAATTCGAGCTTAGAATAACTTTCTGCTTACCCTCATCATGTTCAGAGCCTCTGGCGAGTCGATGAGGACACAGTGGAGGACGTCCAGCATCCCAGTGCCCTCGCTGGACGCCTGCGAGCCAAGGCGACTGAACAGCCAGTTCAAACGATTGCTGTTGGCGAATTGCGCGCAGTTCGTGTGATTTCCCTTGATGATGGCGGCTAGCAGCTGATACAGGTATCCGGATATTTGGTCCCAGGCCTGGCCGCTCTCGTCGCCCGAAAGCGCCACGAGGAAACCTTGCGATGTGATTACGTTGATCTTGTCGATGGCCTCCAGAATGAGATTCAGTATACCCTCCTCTTGGAACAGGTCCTGACGATTCCTCAGAGCACGGAACCTGTTCTGTTTCTCCTCGTGTTCTGAAAGAGTCGACGTGTTTCATAGTTTACGACTTCGTCGAAAGATTTAGACTACAATCTTAGATTTGGAACGTTTTCCTTACCCATGTCGTCCTCGGGTTGAGCAAAATAATTAATCAAGTCTTCCAGACACATCACCATTTCGTTCAGATTGACATTTTGGAAGAACATAGACGCTCTTCTATCTACTTGCAGCGTCTCTAGGCCTCTAAAACATATTCGGTCCTTTTAGCGATCTGCCTGTCCACGTTAATTTATCATTCGGTTTGTAACGGCACTGTACGGTTCCATCCAAGCCTCTACCATTTTTAATTTCGTATTTTAATATAAACGAATCCACTACGACTGATCGATAGACACTCACGTGATGAACTGCGTGAACAAGCTGCTGCACTTTCGAATTACTCGCGCCGTGCGTGACTCCTCTTCTTGCGACCGGGAGAAGTCCAAACCGTCGTCCATCTTTCCTTCCTCGTGAAGTACTGCTTGCTTCTCCTCTACCTTACCCACGCCCTTCTTCTTCGTCTCGTACGACTGTCATCATTGTCCAAGTCAAAAGTAAATATAATCTTTTCAAAGACCCCTTTCAACCCCATTTGTTTAAAGCCCACAATATTAAATTGCTCCTTTGCTCGTTTCACTCTACCGATGGACGAACCCTCACCTTGTACGAGACCCAGAGACAAGTAGTGGCATGCTGCATGATAACAGTCGAGTCACCATACTTGATAATCGGCATACCGATGACTTCGAGGTCCTTATCCTCGAGAATGATCTTCTGGTCATCCTTCTCCTGTCGCAGCCAGAACGTCGACGTCTCGATCGTCCCCTCGTTCCTTCGAACGCATAATGAAAAATTGTTCGCGACTAGGCTAGACATTCGCCGTGACCCTTGAACTTTATTAAAAATAAGTGTTCACCTATCGACCAGATACAGTTCGTTGTTTTCTTTCACGCCTAGATAACGTCCGGTGGTGAGGTGCCTGATCCTCATCGGGTGTAGCCAATTTATGAAACCGCCCGCCCATTTTGTCCTCGCCAGCTCCAGCCTCCACAAAGATCGCGCCTGGCTCATTACGCTTCCTCCTTCGTAGATCACTATACTGTAAATAGTGTACATTAAGTATCGGAAGCCTTACGGGTCCCGAGCCGTTCTAATCGAATTATTGGCAAAAACGGCTATCTCGACTGATGATGAAAACAGCGATATCCGTGACTGTTTATCGAGATTTTGCACACAGAGAACGCTCAAGGTTTAGCTTAAAAAAGTTCTTTGATCTTCGGTAATTAAATGGAAAGGGACGCTTCGTGGTCAAAGGGAGACAGATTTCATTCTTTTATAACACGCCAATTTTTCATAGTTTGCATAGAATCTCTCAAAGTATTTCGAATCGTTTTAAAATTTACTTTTGGTTGGTCGATGTGCTCCAGGACGACGGTATAGTGAGGCACTCGTCACCGCCGTGGAAAAATCGGAGAACATCGCCGCCGAAAACGTAACCGACGTACTTCATTCGGCTGATCCCAGTACCGTACGGTTGCACCGACCAATGGGTCACGTGGAACGAGGCGTTCACCACCGACAGATCGTTCTCTTTCGTAGTGTGCTGAAAGAAACCAGGTATGATCGATGGCACGAAATTTCTGGCACGGCGAGAACTTTGATGGATCAAGCGGGCGAAGTGGTTACGTGCGGGCACAGAGCCAACGAAATATATCGATTCTTTTCATTAAAGCGTAGAGAGAGATTATCGTCAATGAATTTTCTACGATTTATATGCCAGGATCATAAAAGGGAGTGGATGGGTCCTTGCGATCGGTGAAACTTTAACGGAGCGATTTTTATATCGGTTACGTTTCGTAATAAAAAAGCACTTCTTTCTTTATATTGAAGGAATATTAATTATTTATGTGTTACGATATTTTAAACGATCGTTTACCAAGTATCTCTCGGTGGCCACGGATACTAGAATGAGGTCGTCACCGACTCGGACCTTTTCACCCTCGGACCTCTGTTTCGACGCTGGATGCACCGTCCACCAGCATGCCTCCCCTAAACGAGCGATAGTGTGCTTGAAATTACAAGCGGGAGCTAATGCGAATTCTGAGTAAATAATATTTCTTTAGCCAACCTTGAGAATGTTGTTGCAGACCGACGTCGAAAGCCAACTTGTCGTTGGACGAACTAGTCGATAGACAAGCCAAATACTGTAACGAGAACGGGGATACTCAGTCTTGTAAAAAAATGTTAAATATCGTCCGTTAACAAATATTTTACCATGTCGCTGTTCTGATGCCTCAACAGAATAGCATTGCCGTACAATAACGTTCTGTGCCCGGATCCGGTGCCTTTTCCCTAAAAACGTAACGATCCGTTGTAAAAACAGTAATCCGTCCACGGTTCGCCTGAGATGTTCATAGATCGAAAATCGATTAAAAGAAGAGGAGAAATAAAGAAAAATAAAAGTCAATAAGCGTACTGATAAGAGGAGGCCATAAATAACGATCGCTAACGAATAATCTTAAAGGGACAGTTTGGTCGTTTCAGGATCGAATCATCGTTTTTGCATTTTTCTCGAAATAACGTTCGTTTTTTTTTTTTGTATACAAAACACCAGACTGCCCGCTCAAGTAACAAATGTCGAGCGTGTTAAAATTGTTAAACGAATGAAACGTAAAATACGCAGTTGCGAATGCATGTAATCATATAATATACAATCTGTCAGCGTAAACATAAAAAGCACAAGAACACAATCGAACTGAAAGATTAACGTTCAAAAGAAAGAAGAAAAAGGAAGGAAGAACAATAAATATAGAGAGAACGCAAGCGAATGATGTTACCTAAGCACGAACATAAACGGTGTCCTGAAGTGATAACGGAAGGTATACTTACTAAACTTTCTTGCTGCTGCAAAGAGAAACATAAGAGTTGTAAATCTCGTTCTTTGCCAATCGTGAGTGTAGAGAATGGTGGAGAATGGTAAAACACGCCTACGATGTCGTTCGATAGGTAAAGAATCGCTTTGCGGACGATTCCCGTTTAGCGAGTTGCGTACGCTTCGATTTAGCGCAACGAAAATAAATAAAAAAAGAAAAAAAAAAGTAGTGAACGAACAAAATTGGACAACAGAGTGGGACAAAGACAATGCGAATAATGATGAACATAATTCGTGACTGTTACACGGCTACATGGACGCATGCCACAATTATTGGAACAGGGTTTGCGTGCGGATGCATTCAGAAAATCGTTCTTACGCCGTTTTTTTCTCCCCCCCCCCTCCCACAAAACAAAAAAAAATCGTTTTTGCGAACCGTATCGCAAGGAAAAAATTTGCACCGCGAGCGTCTACTTTCTAAGTGCATCGTTCAAGTTTAGTGGATAAATCTGTACAAAAAAACAGGACAGCGGTTTTGTTGATTAATCTCTCCTGCGTTCGACAAGACTTTATGGCCCACTCCTATGCAGGTGATCTACGTACGGTGATTTATCTTTCATTTGACATTAAACGAATGATGCAAAGGAGGAGTCCTGTTCGTCGCGTGATTAGGATCGCGTGTAAAAATCCTGTAAAATCATTTGCTTTTCGTCTGGTCGTCGCAGCCGACCAGGGAGAAAAATTTTAGTAAAAACGGAACACGAACGTTTGCACAGGAAAAACAACGCAGTGCCGGTGATATTCGCTAGAATAACGAGCAACAGATTCCCTGAATCGTTTCACAGAGTATCGCTGATTAAGTCGACAATGTATGAGAATCTTCGTATAGTGTAGGGCGTTAAAGAAGTGGTACGTTACCGTCTCGGAACCGGCAGCAGTAACCAATTCCTGCAGCGCTCTCACCGAGAGAGCTTGTTCTATCACGAATACGCATTGCGACAGATCCGGAGGTATATTCTATAACCATAAAACAGACCAATATTAAACCACATGATTCCCAGTAGTTAACGAATGATTACTCGATCCTATTTTCACGGATTCAAGCGACTCAGAATGGTCTCAAAGTTCAAAATTTCGCGTTAAACGACCCAATATACTCTCATTTAACGCACTGACTGTCGAGAATAATTTTATTTTAACTACGAAATAGTGTCTTTAAAATTGAAATGTTAAAAGCAGTAATCATTCGAGAAAAGTTTTAATATTCGATAATTAAAGATATATGTGATTTTATACCTGAGAAAAATTTTAATGGGAAATTCTAGAGACTTATGATCTAACTTAAACGTAAGATGAACGAAAGGATACTGTTATTTACACGAGGAAGACGAAAATTTAATATTATAGGAAATTGGGAGGTATAAAATCGAACTGCACGATTAAAGAGGGTGTAGGAATCTGTGGAACGTATATTGATTAGGGGAGAGTTATAATAGTGGACACCAGAGTCGGACAAATTTTATTTAAAAAATTTCCCAACTCTGACAAACCCACAGGAAATGAATTGATCGAACTTTTTATTGATTTAAAATGTGGATGTTAGCTGTGATGGAAGTCAATGCGTTAATTACGGAAAGTTTCGATCAGATGTCGGATTCGTAGGATTTTAATTGGCTACTTGAGCTTTAAAACCTTCTTGGCGTTCCGAGGTCTAACGTTTCTCCAGTCAGTGATTATTTGGTCAGTCGACGCGTGGATGGAAACAATGAAGAGCGATTACCTTGTCTGCGATGTTCTCGAGGAAGCAGTGCCTGTTACCGAAACCCTCGGCCGCGAGGCAAACCCTTTCGCCCGTTGCGGTGCAGGACAGACACACCATATCCTCCTGAAAATTTCATTTCGACGTTCAGTTTTATCTCCTCTTTTCATTCTCGTCGCGTCGTACCACAATCTGATTCAATTTTACAAAATTGCTTCTCGCCAAACACTGATCCGTCTCCCAAAATTGCCGCGGAACGACATTTCCGGACGGGCACCGGGGAATATTAGTTTCTTAACTCTCGAGCAAACATTTTTATTACTTTCTTACTAAAAGTTTGTTACCTTGAAAAGTTATTCACCCAAAGACTTTCGAGCCAAAGCATTTCTAGCAACAATCTCATAGTTTCTATCAAGCAAATATGCATCCATGGACGATGCATTCGGAGTACGTTATTTCTCTGATTTTGTTGAAATTAAGAATTAAAAATTATTGTTGAAGATCCGATTCATTGATGCGTTGGATGCACGGGGAGCTTCGACGACGACCTTTGCGAAACGTCGAAATATGATGTGAGCCAAACGGCAGACGCTACCCACAGTGCCAGAACCAATTTGGACGCGCTTAGGAATGCGTGAACGGGTTTACACAAGCATACTGGGAAACGTTTCTCTAGATTTTAGACGTGGACTGTCAGAGAGACGGGTTTTGCTACGCAGACGACCGAGACGCGTTACTTAAGAGGCTGCAATACCACTACACGAAGTAGACGAAGACTATGAGTCAGACCGCGCTTAGAAGCGATATGAAGTTACATTTCACATCGATTTCTTCTATCTCCCTTCCTATCTTATTAAGAAAAATATGTTATTCAGAAAATTGGAAAGTGCAGGTTTAAAGTCTTCTACTATCTTTACGTCATGTCACTGACATCTTGTTTTCAACTGTTATAATAATGTAACTAATGACTCTCTGTTAAGTTGCCAAACGTTACTGTATATCGTATCTTCAAACGTTAATGATGTCAAGTGGGACTATCGAGAGGTTTATATTTGGTATTGCAACGCCCAATGTTAGCGATTCCATATGGTTCTAACCGAATATCTAAAAAATCTCTGTTAATTCTCAAAATAGGTAACCTTTCGAGTACCCTGTGCTATGTTTTCAATGTCCGTGCTTCAATTCTCCTACGTAACGATGAGAAAATCGATACATGCAAAAAACCACGCATTGTTCCAGTTAAAACACAAGTACAAGTGCATATTGCGAAACGAGACATTACAATTCCATCAAAAGACAGTTCCCATCGCGGCATTCAACATTTCCCCCCAGTCAATTTTTTTTTTGTATCTTCGTTGGGGGAAAACCGCTACTCATTGTCCCAGTTTCTGGAATCACACTGCATACAGAGTGATACCGAAATAGGTGGTCTCGCTTTAGTAGCATATTATACTTCCTCCAAGGGTGAAAAAAGGTCGGGTAAATATATGCTTGTCAACCCTTGCGTTCCGTGACGTAAACAGCTTTTGTTTACGTCGAAATTTTTCATGAACAGCTGTTAAGCGTACAATTACGTCCACGCTCACCTTTGTTCCCAGTCGGTGTCCGAATCGGGACAATTTATTTTAACACAATACTATCCCTTTTCTCGAAACGAAATTGGGACAGCCAGATTTCGTACGAGGAGGTTTAAGACTTTGTTCTTGGCACTGGTCGAGCTCAAACGGGCCGTTTAAATGCATTTTTAATTACTGCTGGCCACTCGAGTCGAGGGAACGTAAACAGCGATGAGGGCGAATCGTTGCAAGTATCCCTAACGTAGGTTGATGCAACAAGCGAGGCGGCACTGTATCGACCGACAGAAGTATTGCAAAAGTAGTTTTTGAATAACATTAATCCTATCTAATGATATCAGATTAGAAAATAATATTATAAATTGGAGCTTTGTTTACTTCAGCGATATATTCATTGCATTACGGATCCAGGATTTCAATTTCAAGGTACGGATTCTCACGAGTATCCAAAATTAGCGCATCACATTCGCTCTGTCGGACGGAAGGGGGATGATACGCGTGATAACGCGATTATCCGCTTGCAAATGTAATTGCAATGGGTCTGGTGAACAGCGTAAACGTAACAAGGTTATTTCTATCAGCGTCGAACTCTAATGCAGCATATAGCTCGCGAAGTTCCGTGTCGTTTCTCAATTTACAATTCGCACCGTCGCAAAACGCCATTTCCGCCCCTTCGCTTTGCATACTTTCACGCGGATAAACCCGGCACGCGCGTGTCCGCTCCTAAACGCACTGGAAGTAACGAGTACGCCGGGTTGCATAAATAATGCCTCTTAGAGGACGAATTAACATGAGCCACGGTGGTGCGTCGTACGAAAAGGCACGCGACTCATCCGTGCAACGCACAGCGTTTCGAATCATCGATCTGGAGGGACATTGATCAAACAACTGTCGTACTGTCGCTTCGAATCGACTGCATAAATAGTCAAAAAGAAATTGTCATTGGTAGTACGTAGAAATCGCGAAGCAATTTTATTTTTGTGCACCGGGTATATTCGCAATTCCGCCATCCTAGGCGTCTGAAGTCTTTAGAAATTTCCTCGAGGAGACTGGTGATTGTGCTCGAGACCTCTCGAGGATTCTCGAGATTTTTTAACGAAATTTCCATTCCCGTTTCTCGAGAAACTAATTTCTCTCGACGAACTTTAGAAGATGTAAATTTTATATTTGAACACGATTTGTTTTTCGAGAGTTTTCAACTACGATCCTCGAACTCCCAGTAGCAAAACGAGAGGCTCGAACATCGAGAAGCAAAAAAAGGTCCCGGGGAATGAGTAATCGCTAGACGAGATCATAGATTTTCTCTATTTTTATCCTCCACCCTCGTTCGTCGAAGTGGCGCGCAATTTCCGGTCGAACCGTACCGCCAATAATCTCCGCGACGCGCATCGTTTATGGATAACCGTGGTCGAAACTTTCAGCTACGTTTCGTTGCACGCGAACGTTTGTAAACAATACGCGACGAGAGCTACTCTCACGCGTAACGAACCAACAAACCGATTATTTCCGCCGTCTGCGGAATCAAGCGCGATCGGAGCTGCAACGTGTTGCGGTATAGGTCAAGGGTGCATCTATATTTTCTTACCGGATAATCCGGCGCAATTTTGTCCCAACGTAAACATAAATCATCTGGACTTCTGCATCCGCGTCGAGGAGCTAAACTCCACGTGACCTGTTTTCTGAAAAGTTTGATTAAGGGGTCTTCTCACGTCAACGATCTAAAAAATGGGTCAGATTTTTTTTTATCGACAATCCGTAACCCTGACCTTTCTCAATTTTCGCTCGATCTTCCCGATTACTTAACGAAGCGATATCGAGACGCATCCTACTTCGAAAAATATTCTCAGAAAGTAATATTTTTTTTTATGGAGCGGAGGCGTGTACGGTTGATATACGATGATAAATTTGCATCTCTCGTTGATGTTTGGCGGCACTATTACGGAACGATGCAACGCTCGTACGAAAATAAACTTACAAGTCTCGTCTGGTGGCGAGTTTCATTGTCTGGCTTCGGAAGCAAACGAATAAATTACGTGATTCGAATCTATCGACGATGCTAATTGCCGATCGATATCTATATTACCTTAGCGAGCTTTTAGTGCTTGCTAAAGCAAGTGCGTCAGTTGCTGCCTACGTTACAACTATGACGCGCAACCACTCACGGAGTCACCGTGTCGCTAATAGGCTCTCTACACGTTACGATTTCTCCTAAGAGAATTTCTGCTCGATACAACACACTAAACGAAAGTCACAACGCGTGTGATCTTATATAATTTATCGTACGACAAACTGTACGAAATCAAAGGCCAACAAACGGTCGGTCGACGACTAACATCTTAGAAAACGTTCCAAACACGTATGTACGCTGATATCGCATCGAGAAATACACGTTCCCCAACAAACGGTGAGTTCTAACACTCGCACGCAACGTGCAAGGTGCTTCTGGTAACTGGGCCATGCTATAGTTCTATTTTATATCAAGATACAACAAATCGTACAGAATTTTCTATGGTTTAATAACCTCAATTATCCTATGACACGACTTTTCTCCCAAGTCCATTAATATAGTTACAAAGTCCAATTACACTTTTTGTTTTAGTGGAACTGTCCGATTTCTGTGATTCTCCGTAACAAAAAACTATTCCGCGCATTCAACAGAAAACTTATTAGCCTGAACGATATGTGTCTAACTAGTTCTTCATTGCATTCTGAATATTCTCTTTTCTCTTTATACGTGAAAAGATTTCTCAACTTTAATGTTTCACACGAGTGTGCTGTTTCGTACGGAGTTGTTATTTTCTGATAGTTACAGAGTAAACATACACGCTACGATTTCGTTTCTGGGGATGTTTAAGGAGTCGAATCAACGGATTGATCGTACGATAAACCGTAACAAGCGTGGCCAATTTCCTACGTGGTTATGTGCTCGTCTAAAAAGTTGGTAAGACTTCTTGTACTACTTCTCGAACGAGGAATCGTAACGTGTATGGGCCGTTTAACTCACACGACCGCTTTTCGACGCGGAATCTTTAATGAAGAGTTGCCTACCCGCATGCTATATTATTGATCATACGGAATAATGTAACGTCGATTGCTAAAATTAACTGTCGCCACGCTCTTAAAGAAGAGCGCCAGGTAGCGCCGCGGGAACAGCGCGTATAGGTTTCGTGTGCAATTAATAATTATTTTTAATTACCGACGTCCATTTACTTGCACTCGGGCAAGACGCGGCGAGCGAAAGTGGACGGTAATTTTGAGTGGCGAGATACGATGCCAACAGTTGTTGACTTAATTAAGGATCATTACGAAGTAGCGAGGCGCCCTCGACGACACAATTTCCTACGCAACATTGTGATACACGAGGCGTTTTGTTCTCGAATATACGAAGCGATTATATTTAAAACAATGTACACACACACACACACACACGTGGTCGCACAGACGAACGACACATTAAACGTCGCGTTCGTTCGAGTCGATTGTTCATAGCGTACGAGCACTCGAGATCGAGATCGGCGTATATTAAAAAAAAAAGGCGGGAAAGCGAGTCGACACTCTTTCTCTTTTTAAAATGAGATAAAATTGACTTACTTCCATTCCCAGCTGCTCATATAGAGCAAGGTTAACGCGAACTTTAAAAAGAGCTTATCGATTTTCATCGATACCAAGGGATAAAACCATCGTTGTAAATTTCCATACGCTCGCAGGCCCCGTACGTTTTCAAAGTTTCGAAAGTAAGAGTGACGCGAATCCCGACGATAAAGTGAAACGCGCGTGAAGAATGTCGACGTCATATCGATAACATATTCTCGATGGGAATCGAGCATTCGCGATCGAGATACCGTGCGAAATCAGCCGATGGAATCTTCACATGTTTTCGGCCGTTCGGACATTTTGGTATTCTGACACACCCATCAAATTCTCAAGTGAAACTTAACATTAAATTACAGCAACAGGACATGGAGGGGATGTACAATTATGGACATGATCCGGAAGACAGGTGAGATCGCATGACTCGATTAACGAGTGGATTATATTCGACCGGGGGAAACATCGTCCATCTGGAACTCGACGCGATCGTCCCTGCGAAACTGGACTGAAAAAGGGAGGACACGGTTGAACATACACCGATTTCGACAGTACTCACTGAATTTACATAAAAAATTAGTCGACACGTGTTCGAGCGTTTGTGAAAATGAGTATTTTTGAACATTGCATCTCAATTCCGATTCTAACCCTTGTATCATCATGGGAAAAATGAATGACAGAATATCGTGCAATTGTTTATTACGTTCGTTCAGTCTACTAGCAAACTTTGGACAAATTGACGATTTATTTTCGTTCATTTCCGGAACGAAATTGGAGCACACGAAGTTCTATAATAAAATTCAGAAGGCATAACAGTGTCACCGGTAAAAATACTCTTCAAGATCGTTCCTTTTCACTGTACAAAAACGTTTCGTTGCAATAATAAGAATGTAATATTGCAGAAAAGAAGAACTCCAGTAACTATTATAGCGTTGAAATTCGGAGTAACGATAAGGCTCATTCGCGTAAACACTTATTTCTCGATTTAAATTCACCGTGCAAAAGCCCGTAACTATCGGTTGGATGATCAGCCGCGTCCTTCCTTTGCAAGCCTCTTTCCGGAAGTCAGATCGAATTTTATCGAGACGCGGATCTAATAGAGGCACTATTACTCACGCGATACCGCAAACACCGAATCGATCGCAGATTCCGTGTCCGTCGGGTTTAACCCTGCATACAGCAGGTCAACTAGCAGATATCTACTCGATAATACATATTCTTCGGCCACAGAATCGATTAGCCCACTGCTCGCTGTGTCAAATTTGGGTCAGAAATTGTACACATCTCTAGAAACTCTCTAAGGTGATTACAACGCTCGATTATAGGGTTTCTCTATGATTTTATTCGCTCAGACAAAAGAGAAATCACTGTAGAGATCAGTGATTTAGCACGTTAATTCAATAAGAAGGAAAGGAAATGTTGTAGTTTCCCCTCGGGGAAAAGTCTTAAAGCCGCCCACTACTGGTGCTTTTACCTTATAACGATTTATTTTCCACGCTTATTTGATCGAGCAGCTACTCGGATAAACTCTTACTCGTTCAACGCGAAACGTAATTGGATCGTTCGATTTAGAGTAGAATTTTTATTGGACAGCTAACGGATCAAGTTACCTTTAATTCGTCGAATGAAACTTTCGTATGCATTATTCATTATTTTTTTTCACATCGTCTGTATACTTCTTTACGAGGCACTAAATTTTTACGCGTTAGAATTTCGCCCGTCAAAAGCGTTGCTCGCTCGTAAACGTTTCCCTCGTCGGTCCTAAGAGAGCGCGAAATTTAAAATGGGGATCGATAACATTATTTTTCCCGAGAGTACGCGTTATGTTTCCGCGTCACGAACGGCTCTGGCGACCGTTTAGCACGTTGTAACTAAGAGAAACGGCGGTACACGATACCTTACGATTTCATTAGCGAGCAATTTTCACCGTTCTTCGCCTCGATTGGCCCCGAATAACAATCGCGTATGAGTTTGTAAGGACGACAGAGATACGCAGCAACGATTGTCGATTATTGAGTAGCACGATCGCGCAGACTGCCGCTTTCAGGCACTCCACGGCATAGTAATTTCCTGCGAGGCCTTGGAGCCTCGACGAGTCCTTTCTAGGAAAAACAATGCACGGTTCCAATGCATTTATTTCTCAAATTGACTTTTCTCTAAATAATCATAAGTAAGAGCCGCCGATTTTAACGAGGTTTTTATTTTCCTGCAACACCATATTACGACTACGCACGTGCACGTTTGGTGTCGACATAGTTATTTAATTACCTCCCGCTCGAGAGTACGCTACCTATTCGGGTCAGGTGATATTTACACGCAGAAAAGTTGGGGATTCACGCCCTCAGTGGAATTATAGTTTCCACCCTAAAACGCTACGCTTCGTTAACGCTAATTTGATATTAAAAAATATCAATTTAATCAAAATCCTCAGGGGATTTCAGCTCGAAAGTTCTTTTCTGAGAGCACACATTTCAAAATTAACGTTTCTCGACGTCTCCTCAGGACAGTGGAACCGCAGGACGACCAGGAACCCGACAACGTCTCGACGGGTCCGGTGGTCGAGAGGGGGCACAGATCTCGAAGGGGATGTCGGCCCCGTAGACGACGATCCCAGAGACGAAAGTGCATTTGCAAGTCCCGCAGGAAACGGAGGAAACGAAGGAAGCTGCGTCTGTCGAGCAATCCCTTCCTCATCTTTTACTTGGAGATGTATTTCAAATCGCCGGGAAGGCACGTGACGAAGGTGGCCCGCGAGGCTGGCAAGAAATGGTGCGCCTTGCCCAATAAACAAAAGGAGAAGTACATACGACTCGCGAAGCGCGTGAAATGCAGGTGCAGAAGGAGCAGGAAATAAACCAGAGGTTTCACACGAAACGATGTCGGAATGCTGGAGAAGATCGACGCTAGAAGAAACAGTGAGAAGTCGAGAACGAGTCGTCTCATTTTAAAATCGCAACCCCTAATATTTTGCGTCCCAACACGGTCGTGTCGTGCTTGACTATTGACCAAACGAATCTTGTGCTTTATACGTGGGTACAAATATACATGTTGTTTGTTGGAGGGGAAAAAAAAGAAAAACAGAGGGAAAGAAAGATCGATAGACACAAGCGCGTGTAACGGAACCGCGTGCATCGGGGGATGTATTTTTATTAGGGCCGGGTATTAAAGAGTCGAGCATCAAGCGCGTGCAGCTTACGGAAGCTCAAGGCTGCAGCTACCCTCTCGGTCACCATGCTACTGCTTGATCCTTGCGGGTCGAACGGGGTCAAGGTCGTTCGGCGCGAGAACTTTAAGTGCTTCCACGATTCATTGAATTCATCCCCCGATGGCGTACAGCGTATCCTTTGCCACGGCGAATGTCGCGATTTTATGCAAGACTGAGGCCCCCAAGAACATCGTAAAAACACCGCTCGAGGGGTGCTAACTTTAAACCCAACTAAGAAGATTTAACCCCCCCTTCGCGCCGCGGTGCGTATTTTCCGTCGAAACGCCCTCGAGCTCGAACGACTGCTTGGCCTTTTCGACAACCAAGGGCTCCTTCGTCGCTGAAATCCTTTAATAACAACGCGCGCTTTTCCCCACGTGATTCCTCGACGTGGTAACTCTCGAACGAGAGTTTACCCGCGCGATGCTCGTTTTTTTGACGGATCGGTGCTTGCGAAAAATCAACCCCCTATAATCGCGCTTTGGCCTGCATCAAAATGGATACAGTTTATCGCGTTGATCGTACCTAGAAGGCAAATGCAATTTGGGTTATAGGGGGTTGAGACACTTTCGTGGCTCGTTCCAAGTTTGACAAAAGAAACGGAAAAACTCACCGTGCGGAGGAAGGATACGTCATCCTGCTCGGAGCCGCCCTCGCTGTCAGCCATCCCTTCGGTACGTTTTCACGTGACCTGGACGAGCTCCTTCGCCGCCTCGTTCGCTGGTGTTTTCCTCGTTCGTGTCCGCACCTCTTCTCGCTGGTCGACCGAGCCCACCTCGTAGTCGATAGGGCGCGGATGGTCACACGCGGTCACGGTTCGACATGTTTTGCCCTCCGCGCCTCGCCCCGCCTCGCTCCGGTAGCTCTCTCGGCGCGGTGCAGAACGTTTCGTCACGTCGACGACGACGACGACGACCACCACGGTGTCGACGACGTCCTAACCTCCGATGGTGCACCGACGATCAGCCACTACTGGCCAGAGGTTACCTCGCGCTAACTCGACCAGCTCCTGCGCAAGCGCCCGTTCCCTTCAATCAAATTCCGCATGCTCGAAATTCCGTCGTTACGGCCGCGATGCCGTTCCTGCTCCCTCTCACCACCCCCCTCGTGTGTACACCCCTATTGTTCTACGCTTTTTAACCCCCTCGAACAACCCCATGCTCGTTGATTTTTTCCCGCACGAGAAGTGGTACAAGAACCATCCACGACGGTACTGCCCGAGTTTCTGTACGGTTAGCCATTCGAACACGGTTGCCAGAGAATCTAGAAAGAATTCGAAAAATAAGGACACTTTTGAAATTAAAATCTTTCGTTCCGTCGTATCTGGAATCGTACGATCTCTCGCGCGAGAAGTCGTCAACGCTTAGGGACGTTATTAGATCTATATTGGACTCTGCAGAGATCCTTCTGGAGATTTCGTGACTTTAAGTTGTTGCAAACTTCTCCTACTCAATTTTATTATTAGTACCGATTAAAGGATCTTCGAGGATTTAGATTCTCGGACGAGATTAACGAGCACCCATTCTTGGAAGTCCACGGACGGTCTGACAATATTAAATATGTAGTATTTGCGAGAATTTCTTAAAATAAAATTATACCAAGAACGTAGGAAGATAAACGTGGAAATATTAAATTGTAGTAGGACTGAATAGGTTGCGTGACACATTCGATATCAATAAATATGATAATACCACCGATCGATTCAAGCATAATAGAAGCAAATAATATATTATCCATGTATTGGATACTTTACTGCCTATAAAAATATTCAAATAAACAATAATATTTTACCCGTATGGTTTTCGAGACTTTCCAAAAAACACTTTACTCAATCCTGATACGTTCTCCGAGTATAGTTTCGTCTAGTAAGGGCGAACAAGCGAGAAAGCGGATCCCTGGTGATGGGAGGAGCGGGAAATATTGCGTCGAGTTCTGATTCTGAAGATCAATATGGAGGGATACAGAAACTGCATCTAACGAGTAGAAAAGTTTTCGGTCTGACGTTGCTTGCTTAGATGCCGACCGAAAGCAAGTACGGTAACCTGAAATCGCGTCTATTTCTCGTATATTTTGAAGCCAGAATACCGTGTATATTTACGCGAAATTCGATCGGATTGAAAATCCCTTATATCCGCAGAGAGTCCTTGCCGGAAAAGTTATTTGCTTATAGAATTACCAGAGGCGCGATTACTCTCGCGATATTAATCCCACCGAGATCGATTCGCTTTTATTAACAAGGCTATCCATTTTAATTCCGTAGTCGTCATCCTGACGCGTACGTTGATTAATACGAAAGTGGCTCGCGTATAGAAATCTAAATTGAGTAAAATCTCCGTTATACCTTCGATATCTCAATGTTCGACCATCCTATTCGTTCTATTATCCAAACGAAATAATATTCCAAGCGCGTATACTCGTGTCCCTTTTCTTATCGAAGCATCGTTCCACGACGATAGAAATTAATTATTACTGCCATCGAGAAAAAGAAACCCCTTTAAATTTCACTCTATTAGGTCGGATAAAGAAAGTTTCGTTGTGTTTAGTAATAATCCATCGCTCGTTGGGTTCAAGTAAAAATAGTTTTAGAGCGCCCACCCATCCCCCACGTTACTTCCGGAGTAATTTCAGACGTAACGTCCCTGACTCACCGAACGAACAGTGCTTCCCTGTCGCATTCATAGATTCGAAAAATCGAGTCCAACACGCCCCGGCGGCGTCGTCGCGCGAATCGTTTCAGTTACGCGGGCTTCGTTTCTCGATCGATATCCGAGAACGAGGAACCGTTCGAGCGTTGGTTCGGTTAATTAAATAATAATGATGACAACACGGCGAGCAACGACGCGGACAGACACGCCGAGCCGGACCTATTTCATTCTCGCGTCTATTTCCAGCAACCGGTCAGAAATAGATGCATTTACGAACACTCGTACGGCGATCGCCGTACGTGCTTGGCCGTGTTTCCGCTCGAATTAGAAGCGGGTAACGCGTCGAAGGTTAAGGATAATCGCGATCGTCACCGATGCACGCCGATCCAGGACCGTCCTGGATCGCGGGCCGCGACGCGACGATAAATCGTTCACTGGCGAAACGACTGGCAACGAATCAACGGTAAATATTGTTCGCGCGCTAAATATTTCCTCGGGGCGATTCTCACGGCTACCAGCTAGAATACACACTTTGTCATCGGCGCGAAGCGTCAATGTGCGCGACGCCCGATCCCGATTTCGCAATTTCGAAAATTCGCTGCCAGACTGTACGAACCATCGCGAAAAATTGGTCTTCCCGCCCGGTTGCGTAAATCGATCGACGGGAATTCAACACTTTGCGGTCGATGACAAGAAAGTCGAATTGGGAGGGAAAAAGAAAAGATCGTTTGCTTCGCGACCACGCCATCCGACGATGCATCTTGTCGTTTAAAAATTGACCTAAAATCTTTAGAGTACCGCGACAAGATATAAATTTGACGATGCATCCTTAACCTAAATAATTGGTCCCCCGGAACGAGATGTCCAATTGCTGGGAAAAAGTCGAGTAGTGTCACCTGGATTAGCGTCGACCGCAAAGTGTGCTAAAAAGAGTACGCGATAGCGACGAGGGGCGTCCTTGCTGGAAGCAATTTCCACGTCTGAAAATCGAAGTGCACGGTATCGAGCACCTGATTGGATCCAGCTGGCGGCCGAGAGAAAACTACTCGACCGCGTTCGTAATTAAACAGCCACCAAGTTTCGAGAAACCGCCCACGCACACGCACGTCTACACACACCTATCGTAACGCAAACGCATCGAGGTCGGCTGCAACTTCGAACTTCACGGTATCCAACCACTGCGATACACTGTTACCGCGCGAATGATAACGGGAAGAGGCCAAGTAACACGTTTGAAATTCACCTTAAGGGGGAGGAACTGACTCTTCACTGTCGGCGCACTCACTTGCGATTCGATTCTTTCGGTTTCGACCTCGATCGGGCCCAGGGGAGTGTTACGTTCGGGGTGGCTCTGGATCTCTCGATTCCTCTATCGGGGCCCCTCCGACGAAATTCGTATCGAGGCTCGAGCAGTTCTGCCGGAGCGCGGAGCCGAGCGGAATGGAGCGAGCGAGCGGCTCTACGCGGCTATTTTCAGCCTCGAGCCGAGCCCGCGTTGGCTCTCCTCGCGCGACGCGTAGCAGACGAAAGACTCGACGTTGGTACTCGTTCCACGGTGGGACCATTTATAAAGTGACCATTAGAGCGGACCTCGCGTTTGGTGAACGCTTCTCCCTGATTTTTCTTCGCCCAAAAAAAAGAAACCAATAAACCCCACCGGGGGGTTTTTCGATTCTGTACATTCCAATCTACAGAAACTATTTAGGGAAAAGATCGATAATCGATGAATTATGTGTACTAATCAGTATATTCAACGTGTTCGACCACCCTTGGGAACAATTTTAATGGAAGATTCTAGGGGCCAAAATAAGACGAAAATCAAGAATATCAATTTGTCGATAGAGGCTTCGTTATTAACCTCTTCCCGTGCTTTAACGAGACAGTCTTGTGATGAATATTTTGGCCCAAACATGAATATCACGAACCAGGCTCGCGAACAGAAAGTCGGCCCAAACGTAAACATCGCGAGCCAGGCTCGCGGACAGCAAATCACGTGATCGAGTTTTAGTTTCTATCGGTACGCCACAACAGTCGGTCGCGATTCTTGTAATCTCTGTTGCGAAGCAGTTTAGTATCAGTCTGGTCTGTTTACCGCGCGTTAGTGCCTATAGTTTGGGTCCGGATTCCCTCGAGGTAAATGACACGGGAGAGGTTAAATTGAGACGTAGTCAAGCGTATTGCGATATCCGCAAATTTAGGAATACGAATGCTCTGCTAACGCGTAATTATTTCTAATTATTCTTGTTGCTCACGGTTACTATCTATCAGTTTGATATCAATTTTACGCAAGATATTTCGAGTTCAGCTTCTGTTTGATTATAACGTGGGTATATTTGTTTAAACAAACGTACTTTTAATTCGTTGCTTCAGCTGTTACAAACCGGAGATTGAAATTAGAGCGCCATCGTCGTTCTATCGATACCATAACGCGTCGTGAAAGTTTACGGGCTGTTGGTAACATCATCCGACTGGAGCAGAGTCGACATGGGTACATATATTTTACCTTTACTGTCTTTAAATTGATTGTTGTTTGTTGGTTCAGAAGTATACATGACTTCACAGTCACTCAGTTCGAAGATCCATTAGAAAAAAGATTAATTTAGACCCTATTTTGACTTCCCAATTTCTGAGCTCATTTAGCTCGGTTTATAGAACAATAACGACTAATAAACAATGTTAATTTCAAAATAAGTTGTAATTATCTAATCATGATTCTCTTTGATTGAAAGATACGAATTTCTGCTAAATCTTAAGAGTAACAAAACAATTATTTCTTTCATCATTCAAATAAATTATATATTTTCCCAACTATTGTGCAACAATTATACTTACTTTAAAACAAAACACTGTTTCTTTTAGAGATATTCAAGGAACATCAGCACTCGTCTGCAACTCTATCACCTCTTCTTTTAGACATTTAGACACTTTTGTGTAGAATATTTGTATTGTTTTTCAAATTACAGTGGTTTCAAATAGAGTCTTATTTAGATTTAGGGTATACTGTAGAGTCAGTGTTTTATCGTAAATTGTAAATTCACTCTCGAGCATCTCAGCTTCTTTCGCTTTTCAATTGCAATGATAAAGTCACCGTTCGAAAGCTATAATCTTCGGTGGTGTCGGTAGTTTTTGTTTTATTCATATTTTTCCATTTGAAAAGTGCTTGTTTCCGGTATTAGAGTCAGTGCATCACTGAAGAAAAGCATCGGGTTATGCTGCACAACTGAAACATGTAAGTATCTTCGTACTTAACATTTAAAGATTCAAATTTTGATCATCAAATTATCAGAAAGTGTTCTTTAATATCAAGCGTAGAGTCTTATACAAATCAAGTTTCAATGGATCAGAATATTTATATCGTTTTATTTATGAATTCAGAGACCATCTTCGATGACTTCTCCGAGGACTTCCGCAGAGTCATCCACTGGGCAATATCATTGAGGTACTTCTCGATCACGTTCAACGATCGGTGAGTCAGTTGCATATAATTTTTTATTATACTTGGATCTGGACATTTCATGAGAATAATTTTGAATTTCTAACAATCTTTCTTCGCGAACTTTTCGAAAGAAGTGAAAATTTATCGACACAAATTGTTCCTTAATAATGGGAGACTGCTGTTACTTGTCTGTGAAACAGCCTGGGAGTCAAACCAACTATTCATTGCCAGAAGAGACGTATTCTGGCAAACTATCAAACTTGTTCGTGTTTCTTTGCGAAAAGGCAGTTTGTAAACTTTTCTATCATTCTCTTTCTTGCAGAATTATACTTATGCAATGTCCCTTCCATATAAAAAAATACAAATTTTACTGAAGCGAGTACACAACATAAACAAGCTACAATTTATAAAGATCGAACAGAGCTTGAAACGTAAATAGATTGTAAGAGAAAAGGTGAATACTGCAGGATTTAATAAAGTACATTTATACTTAGTTTCTGCTCTCACCGCTAATCGAGTTGCAATAAATCAATTGATACATTTACCTTTAAACTTTGACGAACATCGATGATAGAAAACAAATACAGGAAGGAAAATAAAATAAATACTTTTTAAAAGTGGGTGGTACGATAGAGGCAATAAAAAGTCACGGTTTTTTCGATAGTAAGAAGTGTATATTACTACAACATACTTGTTGGATATCGATTGCAACATTGATCGCATCGGAAAAAGGGGGTTTTTGGGGGTGGGTTCGGAGGGCGAGGTTTCGCTACTTTTCTACACGGCGGATACGTATACAACAAAGAAAAGACACACATATATTTAGCTGTGACAATAGTTTTTTTTTTTTTTTTTTCGCATATCGATACGTATCGTGTAGTCGCATTATCAGGACAGATTGCAAGGATTCGTTTCGAGAGAAGAAGAACGGAAACTATTCCATCGAATCGTGGTGTGTAAATCGCATCGAACGCGGGGTGGTCGCGTGAAAATGACAACCCCGTTTTCTCGTCTATAAAATTATCGTAAAATAGCATCGTCGTATGGCAGTCAAACAATGTCGTTTCGTTGATCGTCTAAAAAAAGAAGGAACGGAATGTGTCTGAACTTTTTTTCGTCTTTTTGCGTTTATCATCTTCGTTTCCTCTAAGTTTTACACCTTTTCTCGCTTTTGATTATTCGTGCTTCGCTTGTTCTCGTTGAAAAAAAAAAAGAAATACGGGGGGAAAAAATAAACGAAAAGAGAAGTCCGCTCGAACGATTGGCAGACGGTCGGTTGGCGATGTTTCGTTTCGCGTAATTGGAAGAAAGAAAACCGTGAAGATTCACGAGCGAGGACAATCGTCAAGAAACCTGAACGAGGGTCAGTTCGACACTTAACATTGAGTATTACGCAGGTAACTGGTTAACATTTATCTCAGTGTGTATACATCCATGCTAGCTTAGTATTTAATTGGTCAAGATACTGTAACTCTGAAAGGACATACGTGTTTCTTTCTTTCCGATTAAAGGATCCCGTGACGACAACAACTGATCGATCTCGAGGCGCGCGTACGAGTTCTTTCTATCCGCGGACGCGAGTTCGATATCGCTCGAGACGCCGTCGGTTGTTCTCTGTTTCTGTTACGTTCTTCCAATGATTCGTCGAATATTTTGTACTATACATCGAATTGAAACGTCGCACGGTGATCGTAACGCAGCCACGGTTGCGGCACCTCCGCAGCCGGATTCCTACTCTCGAGAGCTCTTAATGCGAAAGACTGTCTGGCGAACGTGATCCAAAAACGCGCTGTGTCCCCCGATACGTTGTACCTGACGTTTTCGAATACCCGATACGCTTCCCTCGAATCATTTTCCGAAACGTTGACCGATCTACGGATTCGACGATCGTAGGCAGGAGGAGAATAAACAGAGTAAAATGAGGCCTAAGAATGTTGACGAGCGACGTTCGCCAGTAGCCACGAAGAAAGTACAATAAATTACACACACTATATATTTTTCCATCGATAACACACATACACACAGCGACGCTGAGGATGAAATTAGCTGGTTCACTCGGGGTCAACGGACCGTATCAGCACTCTAGCAAAAATCAGCGAGAGTCGTTGCGTCGACCGTGAACGACCAGCTTATTTGTTCGGGCTATAGGATCGGTATACACGTAACATTTCGATTGAAAGACCGATTGCGTTGCTGAGCAGTCGAGGGAGGAACTTGTGCACGAAACGAGCAAGGAGATTTCGCGTGATTCGTATTCGGCATCGGACGATACATCTGTCGCTTTTCATTCGCTTTGTCTTCTTCGTTCATGTTTCTCTCTTCGCGCGCGATGCGGTGCATTTCCGTTTACGATGTCGCCGTGCTGGGCGGAAGTAGCATGACGTCCGATGATTCCGATGCACGATGGAGATCAGAGACGCCGTAGGATCCGTTGTATTAGGCCAATTGAAGAATCGAAACGCGTGGAGAGAGTTCGTTCCGCCGCTCGAAAGGGAGGCGCAAAAAGCTTCTCGTCGTTAATACCAAGACGTATAGTCTTGCTTCGAGAGCGCAACGCGATCGGATTTGTTTAGATTGAATGACAATTAACACGATATTTAATCGTACACGTGAAACATCATGGATACGTACATGAATTCTTATCGTAGGCCTGTGCGAATACTTGCATTTCGAAAAAGGAAACTCAAACACGCCCAAAACGAAATTCAACTCGAAGACGACCACGTGTGAACGGAGCAATCGTTGATACTCGTATAACAGTAAAAAATATCGTTCCGTCACGTCGTTTTCTTTTTCTTTTTTTTTGTCCGTTTTCCGTTATACACTCGCTACGTTCTTTGATCATTTTCCGATCGAATGTTTACTCTATCGCGCTAACGCTGGTACCGAACTTCTGTTCGTTTCTTTCGTTATTCGTTGTTCCCGAACGTTTCGCGGATTGGTGCAGCTCGTTGCAGTCCTCGTCGAGCAATTGTTCGTTAACTAAACTCCCGATGGCTGCGTCTGCAAGTCAGTTCATCGCAAAAGCTTTAAGAAATTCTCTGTTCGTTCGCGAGAAAACGAGCAAACGATAGCACGCGGCAGATTCGTAAGGGAAAAGTGAAACGTGCAACGCAACAATCACGAGCTCGATAATTGGTACGCGTTCGACGGGAAAGGGAGTAACGAAAAAAGGGGAAGTAAATCAGAGGAGATGCTGTGTACGTTATCCGTAGAGCGCGACTGCAACCGTGGTACCAGACGCGCGCGAGACACGATTCCCCGTGCAAAAGCGGAGCCACGGTTCTAAAATTAATATTTATAAATCGGGTTATTCGTAACAAAAGTTGGTGCGATGCTTCTGATTTCTTCGCCGAGGGAATCGTCCCGCTCGCGTTCCGACCCGCGCTCACAGCGACTCGCCTTAGAAACGCGCGACACACCCGGGACATTTTCTGTTGTTTTTCTTTTTTGTAAACGCACCCCCGTGCAAACGAACAGCCGTAAACGCAGCCACGCGTTCGCCCGTCCACGCGTGTATAAAACCCAAACGCGTCGAATACAGAGAAACAACAAGATGGTCGAGCGACGAGAAACAGACGTTTGTCGCGCGTCGAACGCAAAACAAATGAATAAACGAAACGAGAAACGTGTGCGTCCTCGATTACGATTGTGTTATTTTTGACTAGACTCTAAATTATCATTCTATACACACCTATCGTTATCCTCTCGAATTAATTATATATAATATTTTATACATCTATTAAACGATGCGCCGAGCCGGTCCTTGGATTCGGGAACCGATCGGCATACTTCAGCTGCTTGTTCGCGTTTATCATCAATCTTTTTTTTTTTTTTTGTCTATCTTATATTCGTATAGGTACATTTAGAGTTTACGGATATACTTATCGTAAAATACAGTACAGATCGCGTTCATGCGCCACGGGGTACCGTGGCATGCGTGAGAAAAGGGTCGTTTTCTCCGTCTATTCGTTAACTTCTTTAAATTCGTTGCGCCCAGAAGACGCGACAGGAGGGATTGGAATGGTGGTGTACGCGGATTGTCCACCAAACTATCACACGGCGTCCATTTCGACGCGACGCCCGATGAAAATCGCGAAAATGTGCGCGTGTACAAGCATGCCCGTCGCGATATCTCGCAGTGGCGTTATATCGAAGCGCCGCCGATTACAATTTTCGGTCGTGTTTATCGCAGGTAGGAAGAAAGATCGTGGGCCCGGAAGTAAGTCGTGTGCAGGGAGAATTCGCGTGTCCAAGATCTCGTAAACAAATATCGATCGACGCCATCCTCGGACACCGATCTTACCTCCTCCCCGAATATAATATATCTATATTTATATTTGCATTTATAATTATATTTATATATTTATATATTTATATATATATTTATACGTATATTTATATTTGTATTTATATTTATAATTATATTTATATACTTTTCAACTTTTTTTTATGTATACGATGCTTTATTATTCGCGCGCGATTTTTGTGTTTTTTACCGTTTCGTAATCGTTCGCTTAAACTGTAAATAAGAGTCAGTTCGTACGCAACGGTACTAAAATTGTACTAGAGCGAGAACGCTCGTCGTCGTTGATTTTTTCCTATAGGTTTTTGCGATCGGTATCGGTACGTACATATGTATGTATATGTGTATGTGTGTATGTGTGTGTGTTAATGAATTCGTGAATGTACGTATACTTGCGGCTCGTGTGCAGACAGAGACACGTCTTCGCACGTTTGGCGTGCAGATTCGTACGAACGATAGAATCGCTCGAGTCATTTAATTCGCGCCTATTTATCCCTAATTACATCGGAACCGATAGTACACGCATGATATATATAATATATGATACAAGACACCTTTAGCTCTCTTTTTCATACGGGGAGGGAGTCGATGGCTCGATCGGTTCAAAGGAATTATCTACTTTAAAGATGCATCCACCCTCTCGTTGCCCACGAGAAGGAAAACATCGTTTCGTTTCTGTCCGGCGCGAGCATTTCGCGGTCCCGTCGATCGTCACGACGGTGTTCGCGCCTCTCGACTCGACGATCGCTTGTCGATTATGCTTGTTCTTTGACCGCGAGGTTCGTCCAATTCGGCGAATATCGTCCGGGGCAGGAGCGACGCGGCCATCGAAGACAAAATGATTTTTTGTTTCGATCGTCGACGGTGTACGCTCGACGCCGGACGTGTCGGCTCGGTTTCTCTGATTCGCCAGAAGCGCCCGTCGGAGCGGGTTTCGCTTCGTTATTAAATCGAACATTTAAAACGAAGGGAACAAGTGTACCGATAAAAATTCCATCCAATCCGCGCGGAAACAAGAACGATCTTTCAACGACTCGATCAGCGAGGAAGCCTCGGATCGAGCAATCGTCTTTCGCCCGTTCTACCAAATTCACGCGTCTCCGAACATCGTCACTTCGATTTTCGTTGTCTTTTTTCGAGCACCCCCTTCGTCTCCGCCTTCGCTCGTCGTTTTGTTTTTTACGTTCGTCGACGCCCCCAAAAGTTAGCAAGAAATACGCGCGGTATTCGCCTCCTATCTTTTCGACGCGCGAACAATAATATCTAGTATATTTTAGATTGTAGTCTTAAATTTTAGGCGAGTCTTTTGTCGGGTTTCGACGGGCTCCTGCGAAACGCCAATCGACGTCCGGGCCTCCGACCCGAGCGCGTTGTCGAACATCCCGATATTCGTCGAGGATGTCGACCGATCGCTGGCTCGCGTGCGTTCCCTCGCGCCGATCGGCCCCGACGAAAGACGCGCGATTACGGTTAGAGGATTACGTTATACGAGTTAAAACGGACGAGCCGAGATCGTCCTCTTACGCACGTATTTCTTTTTTATTTTCCTTTTTACACGCATGCACACACACATATTCATATTTTTTTTATTTTATTTTGATTTTTAAATATTCGTTCGTTTCGCGTCGCGTCGTTGATAGGTAAATGGCAGTAAAACGGATCGATGGATCACAAATATTTCGTAGAAAACACGTGGTGGGTCGGTTTGTTTGTTTCTTTTTAAAGCTGTCCCGGTGCGCGTTCACAGGCAGTCTTCGTTTCCGTTATCACGTAATTTGTAACTTAGCGTATATATTCGTAAAAATCCTAGATGAGAACAGTCTTCGTAAAGGTGTTGTCGATAGAAAATGATCGCGCGGCAAAAGGAACTCGTTGGCAAGAAGAAACGGGGTACGAACGGTCGTCGAATTTGTTAATTTCGTCGATTTTTCCCTTTTGTCTGTCTTTTTTTCTTTTTTTTTTTGTATCACAATTAAGGTTTTGTTCGATCACATAATTTCGTACAGCGTTCGCCGTTGAGCTGTTCGATCGACGTCATCGTGCGCGATCGCGAGCACGCTCGTATAACTGTTAATTATCGAACGCTCAAGATTGTCGTCGCCGTTAGTGTTTTTCGTTCGTTGTTGTCGCGCCTCGATGGTCGATCGGCGTGGATCGAAAGTCGCGCGGGAATACGAATACTACCGTGATTAATCGTGTAAAATTGTTTACGTGAATGTTACGCGAGCGTCTTACGTTCGATCAGGACGTTATTCGTTCCCTTAATTAACCCTTACGCGTTATTAATCGATTAAGATATTTAATTATTTAAATTCTACGTGTTAGTTCCCGGACGTGAAGCATAACCATGCACAGACATTACACGTAAGTTTACACTTATATCGGTTATTAGTTTTTCACAGATTTAACTTGGTAGCGATCGTGTTTACGATTTTCTTTAGTTAGCCGTTCAATGATTTACATTTAATCGTTAAGCGTCTACGTCGCACGACTTTGTTATACGTTCTCGCTTTCGGTTTCGTTCGTTATCAAAGTCGTGTTCGGTCGAGCTCGACCTTACTGATCTTCAATTCCTGGTGACATCGCGTATCCGCGAACGATCGGTAAGAGACAAAGGGGGTGGCGTCGAAACGGCAAACCGGATCGTACGTCTAAATCCGGATGATCGAACGGCGCGAACTCGATCGATCGATCCTCGGCTCGAATAATCACAAAAAAAGAGAGAAACTTAAAAACGAAACGAGAGCGAATATTAAGCGATTCTTTGGTAAATAAGTGGTCGAACCAACTTATATAAACGTATTACGCGTAATATGTATATATATGCATGTATGGCCGTGCGTGGAGATTGTTTTGCGTGCATACGTGATTATGTACGTGTGTGTGTGTTACGCGTGTATGTACAAGTAACGAAGAAGAGCGTACACTTTTCACGATGAAACAACGTAAAACGAGGGCCTCTTAGGCGGCGTGCCTTAGCACAAGTGTTCTTGCTATCTCGTTTTCTTTCTCCTCCGTTTTTCTTATTTTTTTTTTTTTTTTGTTTTTTTTTTTGTGGCACCCAGCGACGCTGGAAACGAGGCCCCCGGGCGATTTCGTAAATGGCGCGCGTGCACACGTACGATCCTCGCGAATTTTTCTCGCGCACGCGCTACTATAACGCGAATGATTAATATTTACACTGAACGTGCTGGGGAGAGCATCCTTCTCTGGCCGATCCTAGAATCGAGTCGCCGATCGTCCGTTAGTGCGAAGACGTGTCCATTCTACAGCTTCTCGCGCTGTTGCCTGCATGAGGGGTACAGAGAGAAAAAGGTTCGCTTGTAAACACTCTCGAGCATCTGGCTGCGTATCGACGACGAACAAAATTTCTTAAATCTAAGCCACGTGTTTCGGTCCTTCGGCATCTCCGATCGCGTGTCTATCGTTTTCCATGTCGGTGGGAGGAAGCCGCGTGTTTTCGAAACTATCCTCGTACGTATAGTCCGTCGAGTCTGATGGCGTGTATTTGGTAAAACTGCTCGAAAAACGTTGGGTTCTCGGGGAGACTATCATCTTCCAGCCGTAGGCGTTAACAGCTGTTTGATTTCAATGTTTGCTCTTACTTGTTTCCGTGGAAATTGTTTTGTTCGAATCCTGTACATATCTGCGCGAGAAAATGATGGTAGAAAATTGATCCTCTGGATAGATCGAGGCTGACGTGCATAGTTCAGTCGGTATCGTACAAAGTAGAAAATAGCGTTCGACTCGAAAGAACCTCCCCCGTCGAACCGAACAATTTTCGTTCAGTTTCGTCGACTTTCGTTTACAAAATTCGTTGTAGCTCTTGAAGCGAAATCGAATTCGTGGGATTAGTGTGAAACGGGGAAACTACTCACAGAATCCGCGTTACCCTTCGGGCAGTCCAGAGCTCGGTCGATTACAGCGGTTCGGGCCGGCTCGAGGAATCACTGCAACTGAACATCAGCAGGCATCATTGAGGTAACATCTTGCAGCTCGTCTCCATACCTTCTGGTGGCACGCGCATGTTGCCGTTAGTGACGTATCCGTTCGCGTCAACAATGACAGAGACGCTGCCCGGATGATTGTGATAGCTGACGTTCCGGTGCCTCGCGACGATGTTTTTCTCGTGCTCGATCCCCGCGTGGATGGAGCAACTCTCGCCGCTTCTGCTGCTGCACGGCTCCATAGTATGGTCCATTAGGATCGGAATCGAATAATCGGGCATCGAGTTCACTTCTACGGTCGCGTTTTCGCGTATTATGTTCTGCGTGCAATCCATTTGCATGTGTTTCATCGACGAGGTCGGTACGTCGATCGGATCCATGATCGTGGATACGTGGCCGTTGGCCATGGAATTCAGATCCGGTTTGTCGTGATCTTTGTTCCATTTCAACATGGATTCTAGACAATGGTACAACAGTGCGTAATCCTCCTGCAAAGGACAGAAACGTTGAGTATCGAACGCATCTTACGCTCTCGGCATACTAATAGACAAACGGTTGGGCTAATTTTATTTGCCAGGAACGACCCTGGAAAGATTATGGACTCGATTCGTTCTAAAATAAAATTTGCTCAACCTTTGCACCGTTATCGAATACAAATCTCGAATCGAACCTTCGATCTGAAGACTCCGGGACGTTTCATGTACAGCAGCTTCGCGAACATGTAGACATCGGCACTCCTCTCGAATTCAAGCTGTTTGGTCAATGTGGTGAGCAAGATGAATACCGCAGCCTCCACGCCGCCATACCTGAATCCGAATTAAAATTAACGTCGTTTCCGTCGAAAGAAATTCCACGACCAGTCCGCGTAAAATTACCTGTCCATCACGACGATCGGACCATTTTGGTAATCCTTGTGTAACTCGTGGATCTGACTCACGAGAAGTCCTGGATTGGTGTTGTGCGGCCAGAAACCGGGCTCTGATCGCGGTCCTTGGACGATTTTGGCACTCAGTTCGTAATCGTCTTGCAGAGATCGGACTGCCACCTCGCGCAGGATCATTTCGTTGGCGGTTTCCTTGATCCCGCAAGACCGTACGCAGAACGTCTCCGATTCTAGATCTTTGCCCTCGGTTGGCCAAAATTCCGGGTACTCCTAAGAACGACGAAATCGTGAAATTGAAATTTTAACGCGTCAAGATCGACCGTGTTTGTTATACTCACGTCGTTGCATTCGGTTAACATGACCACGGTCTGAGCATTGTAGTTCCACATCATGTGCCAGAATTCCATGATCGTGTTCTCCGTTGGGTGTTGCGTGATGATGAACTCGCGATTGCGGTGGAAGCCTGAAAAGCAGAATTTGCGTCTACGTTCTGTGTCTCCGATTCCGTCGATCTAACGATGATCAGAAACCGAACAGATCGTTTACCAGCGATCCATGTTGCGTTGATGTAGTCGCTACCGTCGATCGCAGCTTTCGGCGTCAAATGGACGCGAGCAGTGTCCACCGAGATCACTTCTTGGTTACGGTTCTTGTGGAGGTTGCACGGTTTCATCGCCGACACCAGATGAAATTCCTTGGGCTTCCAAGATGTGACCAACTGGAGATTTCATTTCGAAGGTCGATAAAACGAACAAAAAGTATCCTTCTGATAGAATCGTAGCTTAGATCGATACCTTGTACTGCGCTTCGAGGTTGTTCCAAGCGTCGGTGTTCTTGTTGTTGGGATTCAACATGTCCTGGACGTACGTGATCAGTTTGTTCGTGTCGATGTTCGTTTCCCCGCTCTCGATAGCCTCTTGCAAAGCGTGATGGATGAACACGTACTGCTCCTCGGTCTGAACCAAGAAGTTTCGCTGGGTACGGATGTGTTTGAGAAACCCGAATACGTTCACTTCGTTCTTGTACTTGGCTTGCTTCAACATGGCGTCGATGACGATGTAGGTGCCGGTGCGTCCAACGCCAGCACTGAAAGAAAATCGATTTAAATATGCGTGTTTCGGCCCAGGGCAGGGACTTTTCATACTTTAGGGTAGCGTAGTAAACAATTGAAATAGTTTGATATATTTTCTTACCTGCAATGAACAACGATCGGTCCTGCATCCGGAGGATTGGCATTGGAAGATTTGCGGATGAAACTCAGAACAGGCAAAGGGTGTTCTGGCACTCCATGATCGGGCCAACCGGTATAGTGATACTGCCATACGGTGCGCTCATCCATGTTCACTCCGTTCTTCCTCTTCTTGACCTGCTTGTGTTGGACAGACGGTTTTCTATGGTATTATTTAATCAGAGAATTCACCGAAAGAAAGCTAAGAGGGCTGTTAACAATTTGGACGAATATTTTTTTAACGATACCACATCAAATTATAGAGGATGATAGAACCAATTTTTATACAAAATGACATACTGAAATATTGTGTAAACGTTTCACAATTTATTGACATCATTCTCTATAATTAAAATCCCCCATCGTTAGTAGATCAACCAACCTTCAGATGACGGATGTGGAGAGTACGAATGGTGTACGTTGCCATAACGTCCTCCCTCAGCAAAGTCACCTGAATGTAGCCGTAAATCTCGGTCCCCGTCTTAGGCCAGTACATATCACATTTTTTCTGCAATGTAAAGAAAAGTTTGATCCTCGACGATTCCCCGTTCTAATCGCGTGCAATCGATAGCGATAGGAACGAGATAACGCCAAGTCCCCGCGTAGCTTCAAAGGACAAACGATACTTACGCGTCCACGTTCGACGAGATTAGTGATCATCACGACGATCGATACTTTTTGCTCCCACACCATTCGCCAGAATCCGTCGAACGTCGGTGGAAGCGGGCCCTGGGTGCCGATGTAGGCCCGCGTACGCTGCCATCCGTCGATGTAATTCGCGTTCACGTAATCGTGCCCCTTTTTGGACGGACCACCGCCACACGCCAGTAACTGTACACGAGTATGGTCGTCTGCGAACGCAGAAGGAAAGAGATTTTTATCCTAACGCTTCGCCACGTGTTCTCGTTTCGCGACCATCCGCATTGCGCGATACGCGATCGAAATAGCTCGACAACTTTCGAATTGAACGAATCAAGGATTTACTTCGGTACCAATATAAAATGATATATCAAATGTTTGCTCGCGGTTTGAAATTATGTAAAAAGGCCAGCCGACGAGGCCGAGCGTACGTAGTTGCGATATATCCACCGTCATAAAAGTTTCCTTGCTTGCATTAAAACGTACACTTTGTCATCAAGTTTAATTATCAGTTATTTAATGTACATCGTTCCTTATTTGTTCAAACCGATAACTTTTTTTTTTTGATCCCCCGGTGAAAAGATTGAGTCTCTTCGGTCAATAAAAAAACGTTCTCGCTATCGAGTCGTTTAGTACTTGGTACTTAGCGTCGATTAGTGTCAGTTTTTATACTCTGTTTGTGAATTCAGGGGTTTGTCTGTAGGTCTTGAAACGTTTGCGATACGGCTTCCTCAAGATGGCGTAGAAATAAGCGATTTAGCTCTCGAAGTCGTATCGAATTTAGCTTTTCTTGCAATTGGGGATGTAAGCAATGGTTGGGGCGAGCAAATGTCTGGACAAGTATACAAAATTGAAAAAACACAGTCAATTTTATTACCTTTCGAAATGTTTTGATCGAAACCGCGAAGACGGTTTCGCAGAAATAATATTGCGAGACTCGCGGAATGCATCGGCATCAAAACATTTGCTTAACTTTAGACTATTGGTATTATCACCGTCTGCACGCTGAAATCGTTTACACGTGTTTTTAACGCCGACGCAGAAACCCTAAACTTCTTCATCGTTCAACTTCGAATTAACACGTCGATATTTATAATTTTGGCGCGAGATAAAACAGGCTTGAAATAAAAATGGCACAATAAACGATAGCAGGGAATGTAAAAGAATAAAATTCTATTTATCAAATAGCACTCGATTAGCGGTGTAGTGTGGGTACTACGATAAGATTGTCTCAATTTTATACAGTATCGTTACAACGGAGTTAATTCTCCCCATAAGCAAAATCGAGTGAAAAACAAGTATATACTTTTTCCTTCGCGTTATTACTTTCTCGAGTTGCTAAACGATTATTGCTCGTTAAATCTTGCTCTTAAAGATAAAGTTTCACGAAGATAATTACGGGCAAGGTGGATTGGTATCTCGTGGTATTAATTAAGTTTTGAAAATTCGACGATCGACATTGTAGATTTTTCGTTCGACCAGGTGATCGCGTCTCTCTTTTTCTCTCTTTCTCTCTTTCTCTCTCTCTCCCTCTTCCTTCTCTCGCTGATAGGCATTAACGAGCAGTGCCACGAAGCATCTGTGACCTCGTTGTCGAGTGCTGCCGGTCACTCACATTAAAAACGAACGAAGAGCTGCTCGTTAATCCGATAACATTGCGAACGCTCGAGACGAATGCTCGCAGAATCGCGAATTTCGAGCCGATTTCGTCGAATTCGCGGCCACGATGCTTTTTATCGCCACGGCTCGCGGTATCTTATCGGTAGAAAATCGTCAAGCAGTATCTTTTCTCGTCTCTGGACGAGCCGACTGATAAATTGCATCGGAGCCCGCGCTTGCATGCAGTCTGTAAAATCGAACATGTTGCAGGATAATACGGTAGAAACTTCGTTATCCAAACCATTTGGGACTGTAAGAAATTAAGCCACCCCCTTCCATCGACGAACAAAATCTATCATTTGAATTTGTATCGATTCAAGCCATTTATTTTTTTTATTTTAAGTTACGCACGAAAGACTGATTATCCGATTTTTTATTTTACGTTTTTATTTTGCTTGCAATTTTGAACGGTCGATTTTAGGAAAGTGAATGGAGGATTTGCCGAGACTCTAGACGCTAATTCGTCATTACTGCGTTTCATTCGATATGGTTTACTTTTCGCGCGCCGTTTGAGCATGACTCATGCAAAGTGGAATGAAAGTCGACTTAAAATATGTCAACGGAGACAGGTTCCTGTATTCTGGTATTCTAGAATGTCTGCTATCTAGCATTACAGTGCTCCGGTATTATGGAATTCTAATATTCCGATTCTACAGTACAGAGGTGGGGGACGTATTGAAATTCAAAGGTTGAACGCTTCGCGAGTTCCTTGAAAGGTCACGCGTCACGTAGAACCAATTTTGCTAAAATTAGAAAGAATTATTTAACCAAGTCTTTGCAAACATCCGTCAAAGAGCAATTTGAAGCGATTAACTTTCTAATATTGGGCTTCTTTCTCTGTAATATCGAGCTCTTTTTGAATATTGAAGTTTCTCGGGTCTCTTTAGCCATCTAGTTGCACTGTCCTCTTTAGGCATTCGAGAACGATTATATAATGGTAAAACGTTGTCCCGTGCAGTTCATCTATCTCGATCGTGATCGATTTAATGTCAGCTAAATTTCCAACAGCATCAAACAATGCTGGGTGTGGTTCATAACTTTTTCTATAGCTTAACTTCCTGGTGTTGACCTTTCGTTGTGTACAGATTTTATCCCCTTTAATGTTTATAGATTTTAATCGTTTCTATACCATCGAACTTCCACATTTTATTGTCTCCTGTCACGCAATTTGCCTCCAGCAACAGAAAGTATTTTACTATAGAGACTATTACGTTTATTTACTAGTACACGAGTACCCTCATTGTGCATTCATTGGTCGCTTCTCCAGTCATCAGCTACGTTCACACGCTTGACCGAGTAAATGAAAAAGAAAGTGCACCAACGTAAAACGTTGAATTGCGTTAATTATATATTTGCATAGAAATATTAAAAAAATTTCTTTTTCGTAATTACTCCTATACTTTCGTTCATTTTATTCCCGATCGCGATTCCGGGGACGTTTATCTTGGCAAACGAGAAACGACTTTGGCCGATTCGCGGCACGCGGAGTTTCACGAGACTCGAGGATCGTTTAGGTCCAGCCAGTTTCATGAATCAAACGAAAGCCCCGAGTGCCACTCGGAGTAGAAAGCGAGCGCTAGCGTAATTTCTGCTCCATCGGCGGCCGTTTCCACGCGAGGTTCGGCCGACGTAGCGACGATTGCAGACTTCCGATACGCGCGATTGCAATTGTCGCATTGTGCCAGCTCCGTTTCCGTCTCGGCGAAGGTGAAACGCATGATGACGAACCGACGAAAGATCGACGGAGACGATCCAGTTACCCTATCGACGGAGGGGAGTAAAAATCCGCGCTTTATTACGCGAAGATAATCGATTTAACCGAGGCGTGCTTCGATCGTGACTCGACGGAAGATCGCTGCTTCCGCGACAGTTGGCGAGGACCGAGAAAAATTAACGCTTCGTTGAAAAATGTGCCCTTTTAAAGGGCGAATACCGGATAATCTTTGGAGAATTTTCACACGATATTCTAAAATTCAACTCTTTGGCTGTAGCTGAGAAATTTGGATCGTAAGATCCGATCGAACAAAACACGGTGTATATCGCGAGGATAAAAGGGAAACTCGTGCCGTTTAAAATAGAATCCAGCGTCGGTGGGCCGACAGAAAGAAAAACAGGGGCTGCGTGGTAACGCGGACCTGTCGAAGCTTAAAACCGATCGAAATAAATTATTTCGGTATTCCACTGCCGCGATATTTTCGTAGTCTGATATCCAACTACTTGGGCGCTATAGTACTTCGTGGTAATTGAGCGTACGAGAGCTTCGGGCCAAGAGACTATTCTGCCAGAAAATATTACACCTTTCGTGATATTAATTTATTAACTGTGCAACTGTATTGTCCTCTTGTTCTTTGCGCTAAAAACAGCAGAACGTAAAGTAATTAAAGTGCACAGTATTTTCTGCCACACCCAAGTTTAAGAAAAAGAACAAATTACTATAATACAACTGTCTGTCCATCTGTTGCAAATTCGTTCGTCGAAGAACCGTCCGGGTACTGAAACGTGCCGGTGCACTGTCACGCATAAACCACATGCAACGCACATCTAATGGAACTTCCTCCAATAATTCATACAATTGTCTACTCAAGAAATTGACATAACATTGACTTGTTAATCCTCCATTAGGAATACTGGCTCATTGTCAGTTTGTAATTAAGAATTGTCCGGCTACGAAAATGGCTGTAACTCGGAAACAGGGTCAAACGGAGCGAATGTTTTAATGTTAACCGAAGTCCACGCGTTGAAACTGAACGAAGAGAAAGAGAATCGTGGGGATCGCGTTCTCGTATATAGAAATTTATTTTAGTACTCTTTTGGCCCGCGAGTAAACGTTAAGCGAATCGGGAGGTACTTACAGGCCAATATGTTCAGGTATCGGTTCTTCGCTTTGTTCTCGACGCATTGCGAGTTCTCCGCGGCGAACTTCCCGGACTCCGATTGTATCAGATCGTACTCCTTGCTGAACCTGAAGTCACCGTCCGCGTGGAGGCTGGTGACGTGCTCGACGAAGTTCTGTATTACGACGGCCGTCCGTTCTCCATCTTGCTCGGTGTTCTCCCATTCCTGGAGCGTCGGTACGCTCCGCGGCGGATAGCCCAAACAGTAATAGGCGGTGTGGAAGCATTTTCTGAAAATTGGCCTCAGGCAAGGCCTGATCAGTTTCACTATAAGCATGCATTTTAACGAAAAAACGTAAGGAGAACGTAACAGAAGAGAGGAGGAGGGAAACGTTTATCGCGGCGGGGTAACGATACGCGCAGTCACCCGAACGTTTCTTATCAACGTCTCGCGTTGTCGAAACCGAAGGCAAACGCAATAAACGTGTTCGAGGAACACACGACTGCTCTTCGACGTATTTCCTCAACTCACGATTCGCTGAACTTCTTCATCCCGTCGTCACGCTATTTCCATCGTCCGTTCCATGATCTACGAAGCCACGACGATCGGTACCCGCGAATCGAGATTGTTTCCTTTGGCGAATCTAATCACTGGTCTTCCAAAAGTTTGGTCCTCGAGCATCCACGAAAAGATTCGAGATCGAGACACACGTGTTTCGACGAACGGAGACGCCGTGTCGATCTGCTTCGCGAATACGCCGTCGGTCAACTGAGATATGTCGCGTCGCGGCGCCGTTCCTCAACTGTTATCGTGTCTGATAAGCGTCCCGCTAGCGTAGGAGAAGGAGGAGGCAAGGGTTGAGGGGGGAACCGGGGTCGGAGAAGCACCTAGAACGAATGTTTGCCATCCGTGTTATTGTTTTCCTGTCCCATTAGCGAAGAACGGGGCGTAGCCAGGCTAAATATCGCGAAACCAGACCGTTCGAAGGAACTCCACGCGATGACTTCCGAGAAGATTGAGCACGTACGATGCACCGGCCGAGTGCTTTTTAATACCTCGTTCGTGACTGCTACGTGGATCCGTAATTACTCGACAACGATCGACTTTGTCAATTTAATTCGAGGAGCCCGGTCTTTCAAGATTTTTGTTAGGTTAAATGTTGTCTTTTATATATTTGAGGAAGAAATATTTGACTAGAAACGATCGCGAGTCATTTCTGCACCGGACAGTAACATTATTTTACTATATACTTTATTACTGCTCGTTTCCATACAAATTATTATTTTCGTCGCAATCCTACGCGCTCGTACACGTAATCGACGGTTAACGACTGGTGTGACTCACTGAAAAGTGGCTTTTAATGGATTTCTGTCTACAGCCGTCGACATGACAGCAAAGCGCAAATTGTCCTCGGTTAAAAATAAGTTTGACATGCCTGTTTTAGCCAGGGGAACAGCAGGAATCGAACGTCCTATTATTTCCACTCTCACGCGTAAGTGGCATCCGCGAGCGAAACTCTGAATTTACGAAATTAGAAACTTGTAATTTCGAAATTAAAAAAATTGATAGAATTATAGAATTCTGATCTCTCTGCTCGAATTCTGTTCGTCGAAAGTTTGGTACCGATCGTCAAATAATCGCGATTCCGGATCGACGCGTATGGAATAAATAGGGGGGTGGAGTCATGCAGGATCAAAACGAATGGAGAACGTAAATAAATATGATTGGATGCTCACTTCCACAAGACGAAGGACGTGATGATCAGCATCACAGCCAGACAGGCGCAAATCATTCCGGCGACCACTCCGCTGTTGAACTCTTTGGTGACGTGTGGCAGTAATGGTGGAATTTTGTCGCAGTTACGGGTGACTCGTACTTTGCAGGGAATGGAATTCTCCCCGTTGATGATAACACGATCGTCAATAGTGCTTCGTGTGCCTCCGCGAACCTTAATCTCGTAGACGGTGTTCGTCGTCAGATTCGGTATAATCATCTGCGAATTTATCAAATATCCCTGGTAATGGCAACAATTAGGAGAAAGTACCGGGTACTAACAGATTATGATGAAATATTATTTGGTCCCAAGGGGAATATTTGCTGGAAATTTTCAACATTTTTCGCTAATCGGTGACGTTAGAAAAACAATGGTATCCGGTTGTGACTTGCTATCCGATTTTACCCTACTTTCCCTCGTATCGATATCGGATTAGAAGGAAGTCGATCCGCCTAAGGCCAGAGAAGCTCGACTGGTCGAGAAAACGAAAGGTTCCGCGTTCGAGTTCCCAAGTCCAGCGATATTTCCAAGCCGATAACCAGAGTGAAAAGATACGCGGAAAGTGGAAAATGACCGTCGGGGCCACGTTCGTAATAGCTGGACGCTCAGCCACCGCGACGGAACAAGAGGGAAAACGTACCGCGCTCTCCAGGTGATTCTTCTCGGACAGCACTTCAATTTTCTCGTAATGGTCGCTGTTTTCGACGCGGTAGTTGATAAAATAATAGTCGATCGAGCCCGAGAAGGTGTTCGGTCTGGCCCATTGGATGTAAATCGAGTCGTCGGTTTGGCAAGTGACGTTCAAGATCGACGGCGGGCTTGGTCCTGAAATGTCCGTACGACGAGTGATGTGGTCCGATGGTTCGCCCTCGTATTTCCAAGTGTGGACCTTCACCCATATTTCGTACTCCGTATCGGGATCTGCAAAGGAATCCGGTCAGCCCGAGAGAAACTACGATTTTTGGGGCTCCCCGATAGAACCAGGATTCATCGAATCGCGAAAAAAGATTTCCTATTGAGAGGCTTTCAGCGTACAGAAAAGTAATTTCTAAGTCGAATGATAAAGGTAGAACCAACGTCCGCGATAAAGATCGAACGCTTCCGTCGGTCGAATTCCCAATTCCAACTTGTTATCTAGGAATGCAACGGCCATCCAGCTGGGACACGTAACGCGTTCCGATAAGATTTTCAGCTTATCGACGAGCCAAGCTTTGTATACTCTCTTATTTGTTTGCCGGAACGACGATTCTCGAAACAGATATCGCCGTTGCAGTTTCTGTTAACGCGGGTCTAATCACGGGGATAGCTTTCCCGGGAGAGTACTCACTCAGTTGTTTCAAGACAAACTCGATGACGGGGCCATCGCTTTCGTTGGTTTTGTGCATCTGGACGTCGGTGTAGTTGGAATGCATATAGTAAACACGATAACCGGAAATGATCCCATTGGCGTTCTCCGGCTCGGACCATGACAATTCGATGGTCGTGGACGTGATGCCGTGAGACGAGAGATTTAGCGGTTTCGTTGGCACTGCAAAAACGAAATACGTATGTAAAATTAGCGCCTTCTAATTTGTTTGCCCAACTGGGTAGGGTATTTATTTTCTTGGCGTTCATCAAGCAATAAGGCAACAAATCGATAATTTCAAACAAATCGAAAGATCGATAATTTCACCCGTTAGGTATAACAAATTAGGGGAAAGACTCGCGTATGCGATTGTGAAATACGCGGAATCCAACTCGCGATTCAACCAATACCGATCGAATGCAGGAAGTGCACAGAGGTCGATCCACGGACCGAACCCAAGCACGAAGGAATTACATAGTAACCACGTCGAAGGGCAATGGGAGGAGTTACTAAATTCCTTATAAATATTAATCCGCTAAACAAGCTGCAGCAGAACCAGGTCTGATCGTTAATAACTATTAGCAGGCGATGAGACCATTAAATGTACAGGGTGGGGCATTCGAGATAGGTCACCCAGATAACTCGCCCATTTTTAAAAATAGCGATAGAACCTTTGCGGCAGAAACTGCTTAATTTCACGAGGGATCTAACTCGATGACGTTTTCATGGTTCCAGACGGAAGCGATAAAATTTCTAACGTCGCGCGTATATTTTTTTTCTCTGTCCTGTTTCTACGACGAAAACTTGAATTGTTGTTCCTTCTAATAATTTCATTTTCAAGCAGATATCCCGGGGAAGATATTCGCGGGTCCGTAAACTATTTTTCGGTCGATGCACTTGACGGGCGCGCCACTTTTTTATTTTTCCTTTTTCGTCAGCCGCTCATCATCTTCCAAGGTGGCTTTCCAATTTCCCACGCACAAAGACGAGAGCGAGCTTGCGACGGCCGAAGTCTGAATAATTAATTTTCGCCTCGAGTGTCTTCTCAGACCCCTCGCGCCGACGAGTAACTCTATAGACACCGTACTCGCGTTTCGTACCAACGACCGCAGCCTCTAAAATCGCGGTTGCATTCTACCCGGCGATCCAAAATGCTCTTTGAGCAAGCACACGCGGAGATACGATTACGACGGATCGAATCCCGGCGAATTTCGTTATCGATCACGTAGGAAAACGGGGATGCTCGCGTACGAAGGAACCGCATTGTATGGAGAAACACTCCCCCCTCGAGAGTCGGGAATTAAGATTACGAGGGTGGTCAGGGCGTCATAAACACTGACTTTTGATGTCGTCGCCCTCTCCAGACGGCTCGCCAGCGTTTACTTTTACCAGAAATAGCCTATTGCGACATACGTCCGTCTAATACGGTCTAATAGCTTACGAGAAGTTAGGATCGAACTTTCAGCCACGTTTCCACGAGAGCTTTTCAATTCTTTAGACACACAGGATTCTTTCCGGCGTATATAAATGCAACGCAGGTTATTTGATTTTAAATTTAAAACGATGAGGTTATATTAAAGTACAGCGAGCTGACCGTAGACAGAGATTCGTGGATCAGTGCACCGTACAGGCGTGGGGGTTGAGAGGTTAAGTGCTTCAAGTGCGTTCCGCGCCGTGAGTTGCACACGTACGAATGTGGCTTTAGACCTCGAAACAAGTTAAGAGTAATGGCGATATATCGAAGATAAAGCCGTGGCGTTCGATCTCAATACCGGTCCAATTAAGCTCGACTATTCGTATTAAAGTTCCGATTTTATTCGAAATTCTGACGTCCAAGTATCGGCAGAAGCGAGAGTTTCAAGTCCAATAAAAATAGTTGTCGCGGGGACGTTTAATGCTCCGCCAGCTACGTTAAATGACAAGCAAAAAGGAAAAGCTTAAATATGCGACGAAACGGGTCCACCGTTTAGCCCCGTGGAACTTCGTTTGGAAAACTGGATTACACACTTAGGAATAGGCCGTCTGTCCAGTTACGAGTATATAATTTCTAGATAGCGGGCTAATAAAATAGTTGAACAGAGATCCACCGTTTAGAAATGGGACTTTCAGGCACGCGTTGGTATGCAGTATTTTTAAAACCTCGCCACAAACATTTTATAGAAATTCTCTATTAAAAGTCGAGACAATTTCCAAGATTCGGGTACCTGAATCTGAATGAAAAATAAAATAATTTTCACACAACATACTACGAATACTTTTCTGGGTACCCAAGATAAGAAATAAAATTTGTGTAGTTTTCTCTTTCGAAGAGGATCTTTTTCAGAGCCCCGAAAATGTAAAATGTTGTAGACGTTTCTCGCGTCTGAAAGAACCGTCCAGACGTGTCTGACGATCGTCGATGTGTGTTTTAACGAGACGCACCCCTAATGCGGAGGGTTGAACACGAAAGGGGACGCACGAAACATTCTATCGTCCGTAGGGCTTCGCGATTGAATTTCGCGGCGTTTTAGCAACAGGGCTGCGATAGGGGCGGCGTTGAAGGTTCGCGCCATGTTATCTACGATCGTCGAATGGCACGCGAGAGAACCGAGTACGAATCTCGCGATCAGATTCTAGGGGTATCGTCGATAGGCTCTTTATCGAAATATTCGACTCGTACGGCGGCCCGTGTTTCCTATTTCAAACGATACACCGTACAAACTGATATCCCACGCGCACCAAACGGACTTCAATAACGCACCGTGTACCTACGGTGCTTCTGTGTAACGCGATACTCCTACGCCAACGAACGGGAATGAAACGTTAGGCACCGTGCGCAACTGGCGTCAAGCGTCATCTATTTGCCGCATATTTGGTCACGAATAACGTTTAAATACGAAATTGAGCCATCGCGGAGGGTGACGGGCAACGAACTCGACTTTTTGTTCTATTTTTGCATCGACCCGTCGACCATCGGGCATTCTGTACTCTTCCTACGGAAAATGTAGAATTATATTTTTTCGCGGGATGTTATCGAGCAAAATAACTTTGGAAAATCTGTTGGTCACGCTCGCACTTGGCTAATTGTGGACCTCGAGCACGGATCTCTGTGCAGAGGCTGACAACGACGCGCTAGATATTAAAAGCTCCCGCGTCTTATAGAATTAGACAGTTGCGAAGTGTTTCGAATGCTTTGGAAATCTCGACGTTCGGTAGACCGAGAGCTAAAGATAATTTGTGTATTTTAAATCCGTTGTACGAATTTTTCAAGGAATTTGATAGAGACTTGTTTCTCGTATCTAGCGGGACTCGAACGAGCCATTCAACAAATGGGTTTTTAATTGCACAGTTGTCGACCACTCGAGTCGATGGTCGCTCGAGCCGAAGAGACGTAAACGGAACAAAATGGTAGGGGTAATTCTGTCGCAAGTATCCTTAAGGTAGATTGATGCAAGAAACGAGGCTGTTCAGCCAAACTTAAAATCTTTTCGTACGATTCTTCATTATCGAGAAGTACAACTCTGAAAGTTTGTTTCCTGTTATTTTTTGTATCCGTTTCTTTCTATCGATATCTCTAAAAGTTGAATGAACGAGTAAATAAATAAATTAAATGCATAATCTCTCCGTAAGCAGTCGTCCACTTACAGAGGGCGCGTGTGTACACAGTCGAAGGGTTAATACGCCGTCATTGAGTAGTTGCTGAACCCTCGTGAGAACGGAGCTTAACGAGCGACACCGAACACGCGCGTCAGGTAGCAATTGAACGTGAAAATTGATTCGTGGCCTCTGGATAAAAGGTTACGAGCGAAAATTTCTGTTTCTCCGGTTACATCGAGATATCGATACGTTTCGACGACAAATCGCGCGCTGGAAATTTATCCGCGGGCTCATCGTATTCGTTTAAACGAGTTACGCGATATAACTCGTAGCACTTTGACACGGATACTTTATCTCTCCGCTTTAATTTACTCGCGATAGGATCTCCATTATACGAACAGACCACTGCTCGGTTAAGGAAATCTCTCGTTCACGGGAATTCAGATTTACGTAACGTTCCATTCAGAATTTTATATTCGGTGCTCGTTAGGAAAAATAAACACCCGAATACGCGATATTTAACCCGATAACCCAACTCTCACTTTTAACGCGATAACCAGCGAAAAACGACCTTTGGGAATTTAAAAGGATCGCGAAAGCCGTGTACATCCTTTTGGTTTCCCACGTTTTGTATACATCTGCTCCTTTTGTGAGCGAGTTGCAGTCGACGGCAGCAGCTTTTGCGAATCCCGGATACTCCGCGGCGTCTCCCTTCGAGCGAAACTTTTCCCAACCGCGAAACATCCGACCGCGGAACGAGCCGGGCAACGTTTCGTTTCGTATTCACGACGCATTAGCGATGAAAACGAAGAGGCGAGCCGCGACGATCGGTCGCGCAACCTTTAGAATCCGCGACCGGACGACGTTATATCGAGTATACGTGCACGCACAGCCTGAAAAATGAATACGATTACGACGTGAATAGGCAAGGTCGAGCGTGCAACTCGTTCTCCGCCGTGGCGGAGTGCTGGCCGCAGAAAAAGGGAAGAGAAAGGAGAGAACGAGCCGTCGATTACATCGAGGACTCGTGCCTTTTAGCCTCAGAGTTTTCCGGGTTGCTGGCTGCCACAGGAAAACCGAAACATTCCCTCCTAGCATTCGTTGCCTTCATCCGGGTCAAAGGCTTTTACATAACGTATTAGATCGACCTGTGAGTTCGTGTCATTCCCCCTTAGTAAGTTCATTCTCTCGAAATCTCGAATCTTCGAAATTTTAAATATTCCACGGCAGCTGTTTGCTAGCCTCCACCTTTGAGCTCCTCCAGATTCACCATCGATTCTAATCGACAAATTTCCAACAAAGTGTCGATAGGTGTAACGCGTCCAGAATTATTTGAAAGAAACAAAGATATTTTTTGCCTCGAAAAATTACGTGAAAAGTCGGATTTCTCTAGCAACGTGAACGTGTCACTCAGGGGCAATCCTAGCTCCGCGCAGCATTGCAGAAAGAAAGAACTGTCCCGGATTAAGGGGAATGTGGTACTACGAGTAAGTAGAATGTGGACAGCGTCGAATAATTTCGCCTTACGAAGGCTGACTATAACGTCTGACCCAATACGACTCGCACAGAAGGTCTCTTTTTCTCCGTAAAATAGAAGAGTTCTATAG